TATGCCAGCATAGTTTAAATACTTATTTGATTTGTAAGTTAAAACAAAATATGTGTTTCAGTTTCCATCAGAGGTGTATTAAGGATAAAAAAAAATCTGTCCACTAATACATATCAAAGTTTGAAATGCACTTACCTTCAGGATAAACAATTCCACTTTGGGGAATAAATCCTACAAGTTTACTTCCGATTGTATACAAAAACATGCACAAGATTAAGGATGAATACTCCACCCTTATTTGTAATAGCAAAAGGGTGGAAACAAGTTAAATGTTCCATAAGTCATGGTTCATCATACAATGGAATGATATGCAGCCATAAAAAAAAGAGAGGAAGGGAGATCTACATGTGCTCCCTATATGATATTGTCTTAGTTACGCACAGTAAGGGATAAATGTGCTTTCACAGATGTAGAGAACAGTTCTAGGAAGGATTCACAAAAAATGGTAACAGCTTCCTTTGGGAAATGGGGCTGAGTGAAAAGAATGGATTTACTTTTTACTACTATATTCTTTTGTACCTTTTGCATTTTACGCCACAAGCACATTACCTTTTTCTATTAAACGTGTGGCATTAAAGTGTTTGGATATCACCAATCCACACCCTAATACCAATCATTTTATTAAGTTGTAAACAAAAATAGGTAACAAGTGACACATATAAGTAAAGACTCTTGAGAAGTGACAGCTACCGAAGTCTCTTTACCTCCTCATCCTAATGTTGTCCCATCAGAAACCCAAATACCAAATCAGGAAAGCAATAGCAGAAATTGACATTTCTGTTCTTGCTACCATATGCCAGATAAAATTTAACAATGGAAAACAAGTGGGTAATAAGATCCAACAATAGTCTGTGTAACGTAGATACTTAAAGTGATTTGTTTAAGAGGATATAATTTCATATGACTAGTGTTATAACCAACGGCAAAATAGCATATATTAATGAAGCTTTTGACTAAATTCTTAGGTTATACTGAAGTCTTTTACCATAGCACAAAGATTACTGACACAATTCGATAGCTGGGATTTTAGACATTATCTTGAAAGTTAGGGAAACGAGGCTCAGAAAAGTGAAACAACTTTCCTACAGTCACTCAGTGAAGAGAAGGCAGAGCAGGAACTTGAACCAGATTTCTGACCCCAGTGACTTGCCCAAGGCTCAAACTTAGGACCACTGGACCCCAACCACATGCCACACTGCCTGTAGCATCAGATGAACAATTTAGCTATCAGTGGCTGACTGGCCACTTTGCATTGACTGGCCTCACTGGAGGTCTAACCAAGAGAGGCTGGTTCAGCTTCCAGCCTGAGCAGGAAATATCCACCCTAATGTGTACATTTAACATACAGTATTGTTGACACTAACCACCAGCATTTGAACTCAGAGAGTCAGATCAAAATTTCAGTCAAATGCTAGGACTGCAGATTCCAGCAAGTTTATAGTAAAAAGACAAACTGGTTGATAAAACTGAATTTACCATGCCAATTTTAATTTCCTCTCAGGTAATGGAACCTCTGTGAAATAGACAAATTTTAATTCTTGAGGCTCCAGGAGTGGCTTGCTCAAGAGCTAACAGCCAGTATGTAGTAGAATCTGGGTTTGACTGACTTCTGTTGACTCCAAACCCTTGACGCCTCTTTTGCTTCCACCCTAAGCTTGTTTCGCTCTCTCTGGTGCCTAAGCGGGTGAAAGCTCATTTCACAGGATAACACTGCAAGGTGGAACTGTCTGAAACAGAAGTCACGGTGCATTTTCTAGCCTAGCTCCTAAAAAACCTGTTCTTTTACAAGTTTCACAGCTGCTCAGCCCTATGAAAAATGTCTGACCTTCGGCTAGGATAATGACTTTGATTCCAGCTGAATCAAAGACATCTGACTACATGACAAAGTACCCGCTGCTAAGCCTTAGGAAAATATTTAGAGAAGTGGCTACTTCCTGCACCTGATTTTCCTCTCAATCAGCAAGCTGAGCGCTCTCAAACAGCAATTTTCACCTTCACAAACCTATCATTTTCTTGTCTAAGTACAAAGGAGTCTATTTTCAACTTTTAGTCTCAAAGTAACAACAAAAAAATGTTAACACTTTGACTACTATCAAAGATAAACACAGCCAGATATTAGCTGAAGCAATGAAAACAGATTTTATTCAGTAACCACTGACCACAGGGGAAAGAGCTGAGCTCCATTCTGCTTTGCGCAGAGGTGACTGGGTGTTTTAAAGGAAGAATGAGGGAGGGGGGTGAAAGGGGACTCAAGTAGAGTCAGGGAAGTGAAAATCACAAACGGTTGGTCAGTGGAGATGTGATTAGGCCAGCTGTGTCTGCTAACGGCAATTAGGGAAGTTAGGATTCTATCTTCCCACCGAGACTGAGAGACAGAGGCCCTATCCCTCCCGATGATTACATTTCAAAGAAATGGTTCAGATCCCTGAGAAAGACATGTCTAAGTTGGAGAGACATATACACCTCAAAGGGAAAAGGAAGGACTCATAATGGTAAGCCCTTTTTAGTAAATGCCCTAAGAAAGGGCGGTCAGGGACCTATTGTCAGGTGTTGGATAAACAAACAGAAAATTCTCCTGGCAGCCATGAGATTTCTCTGGCAGGCATTTTAATGGGGCCTGGGATCGTCCTAGGAGCACAGCCTTAGGGTGTTAGAAGCCATGCTAGAGTTTGGTGGACTCTCAGCGCAGAGGTTTGGACAGAGTCAGTCATTCAGTGCTGGGAGTCTGCAGTTCTTACTACCCCAGGGTGGTCCTGATCCTTATCTATCTCACAGGCACTGCCTTTCTCCACCACTGACCTGCTTCCTGCCAAGTACAAGCAACTATTAGAAAATCAGTAGGTGAAGTTAAAAAATAAACATAGGTTCACTGCAGCGTTATTCACAATAGCCAAGACGTGGAAGCAACACAAGTGCCCATCAACAGATGAATGAATAAAGAAGATGTGGTACATATACACAATGGAATATCACTCAGCCATAAAAAAAGATGAAATTGTCCCATTCCCAACCACATGGATGGACCTTGAGGGTATTAGGTTAAGCGAAATAAGCCAGACGGAGAAAGACAAACACTGTCTGATTTCACTCATATGTGGAAGATAAACACATGGACAAAGAGAAACAATTAGTGGTCACCAGAGGGGAAGGGGCCTGGGGAGTGGGCATAAGGGGTAAAGCGGTGCATATATGTAGTGACAAATAAAAATTAGACTATTGGTGGTAAGCACAATGCAGTCTATACAGAAACTGATAAACAATAATGTACATGTGAAATTACACAATGTTATAAACCATTACGACCTCAATAAGTGAAAAACAAAAGAACTATAATAAATAATAGAAATAATAAAATAAAAATAAAATCAACAAAAACCCCTTCATTTCATCAAGAGCTGCAGCCACCTACGCAAAAATCTGGGTTTGGGGTTTGAATATAACTCTTTTAAGTGTCCTCAGATTCTCTAAGGTCAGGATGAAAACAAACAGAACACTCCGAAAGAGACAGGACCACAATTAGAAGATCTAAATGTCAGAGCCAAAGCTGATTTTCCGCTCCTCGCTGAAAAAAAGAAGAGGACGAGGAGGAGAGGGCAAATAAGAACAATTTTTTTACTTTACTTTCCACAAGTTGTTAGGCACATTTGAGAAAACTTGAAAATTTTTTTTACAAACTGGCCAAACACCTAGAAATAGCTATGCTATTTCTCCTGCCAAAGAATTCAGGCCAAAAGAGAAAGGCAGCCCACAACTGAGCAGATTCCAAGGCCTGGGTTCATCCAAAGAACTTTTTTTGTGGACGTTCTTGGACTAATAATCAAGACACTCATCCTGGAGAGAGCTCACAGTCCAGTGGGAAAGATATGTGATGGGTGATATCAACAGAGGTCGGAACCAGGTGCAATGGTGAGAGAGCAAAGGGAGTGCCTCAGAAACTCAGGGACATTTTTCCACCGCAGGTGAGTTTCACAGGATCTTGGAAAATGCGTAAGGGGATCCAAGATCGAATCTGACGTCCACGCTGGGGTGATTCGATTCAATTCCCAATTTGCCTTAGAAGCTTCTCCCATACGCTTCCCACCGCAGTGAACTTCCCTTCTCAAAGCACTTATCAAATCTCGTTGGCTTGTCCACGTCTCCGCTAACCTGTGAGCTCTGTGGGCAGGACTGGAGATTCACAATTACATAAATCCAGTGCCCGGCTCAACAAGGGGGTGTGGAAGGAACGGCACGATTAATGAGTAAAGTCAGCGGACCGGCAGCCTCTCCCATGGGCTGGAGTCGCTCTTTCCAGTCTGGTTCACTCAGAGGAATGTGTGAGGGGGCCGTCAGGGAGCCCGACCCGGAACTCACGGAAAGAGACTGGGGAGAGCTCAGGCTCGGCCGAGGAAACAAGAAACCTTGCTGCTGGTCCAGGATATGGAGGGACCGCGGCTCCAGGCGGGAGTCCGCGAACCTATGAGAGCTGCTTGTCCTATCCTCTTACTTACATTCGTGAGGGAAAGATTTCGATTCGGTCTTTGCCCGACATTCTGACGATGACTATGCGACTCGGGTCCCCGGCCCGGCAAGCGTGGCTGCGATAGCCCCAGCCACAGCGTCTTCCTGGGCTGGAATCAGCTGGTTGTGTCACTTGACTCGGCGTTGCTAAGAGGCAGCCGGAATACTCATTCTTCACTTCCGCTTCCTGTTGCCCCGGAGGGGAGCGGAGAGGAAGGGCAGGGCAGGAAGAAGGCAATGCCCGGATGTCGAGGTGCGCGCACCGCGGGAGTGCCCCTCAATTCCGGTTCGCTTCCTAGCCCCTCCCCCTTCAGCTCCCAGGCGGCAGCGCAAGGCGCTGCACGCGAGGGGCGAAAGAACAGGCTACACTCCTCTCTTCCTCCACTTTTCGTCTCTGGTTACAGCGCCACCTCATGGTTGACTGAAGCTTTGACAGAAGATTAATTCTTCCGGGACAAGAAATCAGAATCCTACATCTTCCCTGCGCCTTTAAGGTTAGTTAGCGAAAACTAAAAATAGCGAGAAAACGTACTTTTCAGGTCCTCTTATGAACTACATTCTTCCCTGTTCTCGGAGGACCTGGACTCTATGGTCAGTGACGAAGAGGGGCGTCTTCTGTCGGCGCATGCGTGATGCGAGGTGGTTCCGCATGCGCAGTGGGGTTAAGCGAAGCGCACGCTGAGGAGCTTCGGCGGTCGGTGAGAGTGGATCCGGTCTGAGTTTTCGGTTAAAGAGCGTGGCGCGGGTCCCCAGTGCGGGATTCACACACATACCTCAGGTGAGTAGTGCCCGGGATCGGCGTTTCCAGGAACTCACTTTGGTTGTGTCCGCTGACAGGGGTGGTCGAGAGAGGGTAGGCCCCGGGCTAACACTCCCTCCCTTTCCCGTTCCTGCGCGGGAAGTGTCTGGACACCTCGGCCGCCACCCGCCGGCTGTGCGTGGCCCTCCTCGCCAGCCCTGTGTCGGTCTTCACGTGTTAGAGAGGTGTCGTTGTACGAGCAGAGGGATCTCGTGAAGGAAAGTGGGACGAGACTGGACAGCCTCTTCAGTATGCTTGAGGCGGGGATGCCTTGAGGTGGGGCGGCCTCAGGAGGACGCTGTGACACCTCGCCCCGGGACTCCGAGCACTTCGCTCTTCCCGGGCCTGGGAATCCCATGCTGTTGGGTTTTTTTCCGCCCCAGCAAATACTGCCTCTCAGTGGAAACCAGACCGGACACGTCAAGGGACTACAGGGTTGGGATGGGTCACGGGGATGACAAGCGCTGGGTTAAAAAGGGTCCAAGAATAGTTTATCTGACAATTGATTTTTAATAATTGAAGCTTGTATTACTTTATCGCTCGAGTTGTGCGTTTCTGTAGAATGAGTCACTCCTTAAATTGAAACTGAAACATACTACTAAAGGGTTTATTGCTCTTTAAACACGGTTTACCGTGGTTTAACACCGATGAGAGTAGAATTGTAGAGTTACACGCTGTGGTCTTATAATTAAGCATAACTAAAAACATAAGGGAATTTTAGAGTTAAGTATGTATTCAGCCTGAGGTCCCTTTTATTATCCTCCAAACTTAGGCTGCTTTAATTTTCATAAAATAAGAAACAGTTTCTTGGAAAAAAGGTGTACCAGAGAAGTCTTGGTTTTTCTCCTGATTGAAGTTGTTATTCAGGGGGAAAATCTTGTAACTCTGTCTTTCAGCAGTTTGGGAATTGTTTATATAGAGCTTCACTGCCTGTTCTCAGTTCATCTGATGCCAAATGTCAGTTACTGATTCTCAAAAGATCTCAAAAAGAAGCACAAAAATGTTTGTAGACATTGGTGCTTTCTGTTTCAACTACAGTGAAATAGTTTTAGGATTTTATTTGTGTAGCACTCCTATACTAAAAAGTAGCATTCGGAGAGCATAACTGGTAAGTGTTAGCACTGAATTCGAATTATCACAAGAGTTGTCTCTATCATATAATGCACTTCGCTTTGGAAAGGAATGTGGACTTCTGTCCATTATGGTGACTTAACCGTGCACTGGTTTAAGAAAGGAGTCCTGCTCACCATTTGACCAGGCAAAATTACTGACAGTGCAGGGTATTTGAAATTAGCTTGGAGTTTAGTTAATATATTTTGAAAGGTGGATATTGTTTACCGAGGAACACAAACCATATTGTAGTACTCTGATGTATTGAAGCTGGATCTAGTGTCAGAAGACTTGTTTTTAGCTCCTGTTCTAGTACTTATTAAGCGTTTGACCTTGAGGAAGTCATGTAATGTGTCTGTTTCTTGGTTCCTTGTTAATTGATTGCTTTGCTCTGCTCCTTTCATAGTACCTTATTTTGCAATTATTTGCTGACTAGGTTGCTTCCCATTCTGTACTTAAGTTCTCTAGGTAAGAGTCTTAATTGTTGTATCAGTAGTGCTTAGTATATAGTAGATGCTGCAAAAATAATTAACGAATTAAGTTACAAAATGGAAATAATATCTCCTTTGCCTTTTAATATCTTATAATTGTATAGGACATTACACTTTTCAAAATGCCTTTACATATATCTTTTATCTCATTTGATACCCTCCACAAACCTGTGAAGTACATGGCACAAACAAGAAACTACGTTTCGTAGGAATACATTTCCCAAGCAGCCACAGCTAGTCAGCAGGAAAGCAAGGTCTGGAAGCCACGTCCAGAGCTATTCCCAAAGTTGACTATACTACTTACCTGACTTAAGGGCTTATTGAGAGCCAATACAATAAGTCAGTGTGTTTTGAAAATTATGTAAAGGGCCAATAGACACCTAGTGTGTGGCTTCTATTTTCTTGACTAATTTTTTTTAAAAATTAGTGTTATTATTAGCATAAATAAAGAGATGTTCAAAATCTGTCAGCCAATATGCAGGTTGTTTGTGAAATGGATTCTTTTTGTCTTGTCAGTTATTTTCTCTCTTTACGAAGAATAACACACCATCAGCAGTATTCCTTTATTTACCCTGTGGATTGCAAAGAGATTTGTTCCTCCTAAAGCAGTAGCATTCATATCTCCCTTCAGGAATCTTTTACACTGTTGCTTATGGTCTTTGACTGTCAAATTAATCATTTCTTCCCCCAAATTATCAGCTTTTCTGTTTGAAGAAACTTGGTAAGTAAATGTGGTTAGCACCTGTTAAATCTCTTAAAACTGTTTCACACATTTCTGTGACATCATTTATTTTGCTAGCGAGTTTTAAACTTTTTAGCTCTCAAATTTTCTTGCTTTACATACAGGTATTTGACAACAGTTGTCCAAAAAGGAAAAGCTTTCTTTTGTTTTGTTTTGAATGAAACAACTAGCTCAGCTGTTTCTTGGTGGGTAATTCTGGCCATTGAATATCTACTTCCCTTTATTTGCTGAATCCCTGTTTTGTCAAGCAACAACAGAATTGCATCTCTGCCACTATTATTAATATGCTGCTTTATTTTTTTTGTTAAACAAGATAGATTAATATTAAAAGTTTGCAATAATCTGTGGTGTATGCTCCAGCACTGAATATGTATATTAATGTTGCTTTTTATTTAATATGTTTCTAATTGTAATATATTTATCAATAATATTAAGAGAAAATATAGCCTGATGAATAAGAGCACAGACTATGGATCCAAACTTCATAGGTTCACAAATTCTGACTCCATGACTTATTAGCAGTATATGACAGAACAGGTTGCTTAACCTGTGCTTCAATTGCTTCATCTATAAAATGGGGAGAACTAGGGTGGAAAGTGGTGCCTCAGGGACATGGGCAGTGGCCAGATCACATAGGACCCTGTGGGTGGTAGAAAGATGTATAAATCAGTGGGAAGATACATGTGGGTGCAGTTAGCAGTTCTCAAACTGCACTGCAGCAGAACTCGGGTGTTCTCTGAGCTGGATGTGGATGTTCTGTCTTCAAGATCAAGTTATGGCAGCCTTATTTCCCAATTAGTAAGAAAAAAATAAGTTAGTAAATGAGTTTTCACAAATTTTTCATAGGTCTTTAGGCCCTGCTAGTGCATATCTTCTGAGCTTTGACAACAGTAAATTGGTTAAGGTTAGCAGAAAAACATGCAAATCATCAACTATGATTAATTTGAGAGCTTCCTATTAAAGATATCCTTCTACTCACGGTATGATTTCAGGCTTGTGGGTCATAAAAGGTGTAGTGCTGAAAATAGGTTGGGTGGATCAAAAGGCATAGTTCTAAATATATTTAAAGCTTGGAAGTTAAGAGAAACTTGAAGTTTATAGTAATGGATATCTACAAAGCTGTTCTCAAGATTGAGTATACCTATTCAACAAAAGAGAAGAATATTTGGGAGTGATGGAAAAAGTAGAAGCTAGAAATTATGGTAATTATGAATTAAGTTCGAGTTAGTTTTAAAAGGAAAAAATTTGGAGAGGAGGATACATTTTTAATATCTTTCATGATTAATAAATTTTTAGTTTTTGTCTTGACATGTGATACTGTAATTCTGGCTATGATAAGTGATAGGGTGTATCATTTCATATATGGTTAGGGTTAGGGATTTAGTAGTCGGAAGGTTTTTTCCCCTTTATACAGTGGATGGTAAGCATGTACAGTTGTAGCTGACTTGGAGAAAGAGTAGCTTTAGTTTTGCTGATAGGTTTATAATAGTAGTGATGCTCCCCATCACTTGTTATTTCTTAAAGTGGTAGTATTAAAATAGTATTTTACTCTTGAGGTATACCTTTAATCCTTAGGTCTCAGAATACTTTATAGATGGTCATTATTTTTTATGGTTCCTCTGAAAGTGATGGCAGAGAATCACCCAAGCCTTACAAAAATTTGGAGCAAAATAAAAATTAAAGCTTGGTTCCTGAACATCTGTCTTTTATCTGGTATCATTTAAAAAGTTTAAAAAGGTAAGAAGACTAATAACTTCTTCTAGTGACAAGGTGTGGAAAATTGACTGCTGTTTCTTTATTTTGACCTTAACTGAACACTTACTTGTTTGTTTTGTTTAAATTGCAGAATGCCGGGTCTAAGTTGTAGATTTTATCAACACAAATTTCCTGAGGTGGAAGACGTAGTGATGGTGAATGTAAGGTCCATTGCTGAAATGGGGGCTTACGTCAGCTTGCTAGAGTACAACAATATTGAAGGCATGATTCTTCTTAGTGAGTTGTCCAGAAGGCGTATCCGTTCTATAAACAAACTCATCCGAATTGGCAGAAATGAATGTGTGGTTGTCATTAGAGTGGACAAAGAAAAAGGTGAGATAAATATCTAAAATATAAATTTCAGATTTAAAATGGTTTATTTTAAAATATATTTTTCGTAAATTGCCTACTGCAGTAAAAACAACAAGACATCTCCTTTTACACTTAAACTCTTTCATATACAAAGTTGTTAGAAAAGGATGCCATTACCCATCTAAGCAAGACCTCTTAAGGTTAGTAGTGGTTTAATTAGTACATCCCAGGGCTAGTTTTTATGAGTCAAATAAATTAAATTTTATTCCCAGAGATTATCAGGATCTTGATAATTAACTTCTTGTTTCCAAACTTGGAAGAGACAGATAAGTAAACCAGAGTACTAGTTTATTCATATCTGTCAGATGCCTTTTTCTTGATTTAAAGTTAAATTAGTAATTAGATTATTGGATGAGTATGGAAATGGGGCAGAGATAAATTTTAGGAATATTTTATATGAGCTTTGAAAAGCAATATACTGTAAACATACACCCAAAACCCAATATTTTTTTAAATAGCTTGTTAAAGTATAATTTATATAACATAAAATCCACCCAATTTAATTGTTCAAACAAAACCCAGTATTATATGTCCCTCAAATGAGAATATCTGTGACCACCAGATCCTGTGGGATCTTTCAAACAGTGCTGGATGAGTATTTTTTACTTGTTGTGTGCCTTACTTCTGGATTCCATGTAAATCTTCATGTTCATGAACAAACTTTTTTCCAAACACAGTATACAGTACCATTAAGTAGGTTTTGGATTCAGCTGGCTTAATAGAGTTAAGATAATTGATTTTGGTCATCTCATTATAAGTTATTAGGTGTTAAGTAAGTAGATATGATCATGCGTAAAAGACCAATCAGTCATCTTGATTGAACTTGTCTTTCTGAATCTTGTCAGCCATCTAGTTAATTGTACTTCTGTAAGTGATTAATTTTATGCATAACTGACATTTTATTTTGTTCTGATTAGAAGCTTAGATGATAAACTTTGGAGACTTGTTAGCCCTTAGTAGTGACTACCATTTACCACATTGATTATTCTAAATGTTTTGATATGACTTACTTGTAGTCCCCTCCATTATTAAACTACTTGAAGATTGAAACTATTCCTTAAACTTGTGTAAGGCTTCACATTACTGCCTCAGTAGGACCTAGAATGGTGTCTTATCTTGTATTTTCTATTATATAAAATATATACACAAGAAGAAATCAAATATATTTTCAACTGCAATTAGAAAAAAATGAAAGGGTATACATGCATAAGTATAATAGATACATGTAAAAATATTTCCATAACAGCATTGTTTGTACAGTATTAATTAAAAACAGGAAACAAAAGTCAAAATCATAGTTAAATAAATCGTGACAGATCCATGCAATTTTATATGGAACGATGTCTGAATATTCTGATAGGGAAAAATCTCCAGAGTAGGTAAGAAAAAAAGCAAGGTACAGAAGATCCTATAGAGGGGATCCTTTTCTCCGTTTCTGATACTAGAAGATTAGGTCTTATTGGACAGACTTTTCAACACAATAGCTATACGCCCTGAACAAACGTTAAAAAAAAACCCACCTAAAGACAGTAGGAGCAACCAAATGCAGCTGAAACTGAAGGCAAGTTGACACTTGGAAGAAAGGAACTGCACTAAATAAGTTTACAGCTTTTTGTCTGAGCACATACTACAGACAGCTTCAAGCAGGGCAGCTAAAATTCTAGTGGGAAACCTGTAGTCTTAATGGCTTGAGAACCAGAGATGAGGGTTCTGGACAACCACAGCACTTGGAAAGTATTGATAGGGATAAGAGAAAGGAGACACACAGAGGGAGAGCCCCAAATTTTATGTATAAATTCTGCCAAAATCTCTAACTGACCTGTGAACTACTAATATACAGAGTGAACTGCAAGCAGCCCAACAGGGTAAAAATCTAAACAGATTTTGGTTGCCTTCCACTTGGGGAGACAGAGCTTAAATCCAGAGAAGTTAACTGCCTGCTAAAACAAAAAATCAGTATCCTTAAGAGGAACATAATGAAATTCAGAGTCTCTGCCACATATCATTCACAATGTGCAGGATCCAGTCCAAAATTGCTAACCATTTGAAGAAACAGGAAAATATGAACCATGTAGAAGAGAAAAGGCAAGCAATGGAGACTAACTAGAGACAACCCTGATGTTGGAATTAGCAGATAAGGATTTTAAAGCAGATATTATAAATGTTCAAGATATTGGAAAAATATGCTTGTAATGAATGAACAAAATGAAATCTCAGTAAAGAAATTACAGACTCTGACAAAGAACTAAATATAAATTCTAGAAATGAAAAGTGTAATATCTAAAAAATTCACTGGGGGGCCGGCCTGGTGGCACAGCCCTTAAGTTAGCATGTTCTGTTTCGGTGGCAAGGGGCTTGCCAGTTCGGATCCCAGTTGTGGATCTACACACTGCATGTCAAACCATGCCGTGGCAGGTGTCCCACATACAAACTGGAGGAAGATGGGCACAGATCTTAGCTCAGGGCCAGTCTTCCTCAGCAAAAAAAGAGGAGGATTGGTGGCAGATGTTAGCTCAGGGCTGGTGTTCCTCAGGAAAAAAAAAAATTCAGTGGATGGCCTAATAGCAAATTAAAGACGACGGAAGCCTGAGTGAAATTTGAAGATAGTTCATTTAAAAAGAACTAATTTGGGGGCCATCCTGGTGTTATAGTGGTTAAGTTTGTGTGCTCCACTTCGGCAGCCCAGGTTCAAAGGTTTGGATCCCAGGCGAGGACCTAGCACCGCTTGTGAAGCCACACTGTGGCAGCATCCCACATAAAACAGAGGAAGTTTGGCACAGATGTTAGCTCAGGGCCAATCTTCCTCACAAAAAAAGGAACCTATTTGAGGAACAGAGGGAAAAAAAGCAACTTAGCAAGTTATCAAAAACTCTATTCCAAAAGAAGAGGACAAAGAAAAGGGCAGAAAATATATTTGAAGAAATAATGGCCAAAACTTTCCCATATTTGCTGAAAAAACGTAAATGTACAAATTGGAGAAGCTCAGCCAACCTCAAGCAGGATAAATATTGATAAGGCAGCATCTAGGCACAGCAGACTATTGAAAAACAGAGATAAAGAGAAAATCTTGAAAATAGCCAGAGGAAAATGACACATTATTTACAGGGGAACAGTAATAGAAATTACTATGGCGTTCTTACTGGAAATACTGGAGGGCAGAGCATTGAATGACATCTTATAGCACTGAAAGAAAAAACTGTCAAACCAGAATTCTGTATCTAAAGAAAATATTCAACAATGAAGACCAAAATGACATTTTGAGGTAAATAGAAACTAAGAGGATTTATTACCAAATAGATCTGCTTTATAAGAAATGGTAAAGTTGTTCAGGCCAAAGAGATGTGATGCCTGAAATGGAAAATATATAGGTAAATATAAAAGACCGTTTTTTTTCCTCTAAAATTCTTATTTGCTTGTCTCGTTTTGTACCCATGGGATTTTAATTTATAGAGGTGACTGACAACATGAAGGGGCCAGTGCCATTGAAAGATTTTTATTGAAGTCTTCTAGGAGATGGGGACATCCATGCCATGCCTTGCTGAATCACATGAGGAATCACCAGTTTTGGTCAGGAGGCAGAAGGAGTCGGGGGCGAGGAGCCTAGGCCAGAGCCTTTATTAAGTTTTACGTGGGAAAGGCAAGGCAGGTCGGGGTAAACAGGTTAGGGTTGGCTAGTTTGAATAGTTTTGGCAAGCCTTGGGGCATTAGAGCTGTCCCAAGTTGTCTGGTACCTGATGCTGGGTTGATCAAGGGCAGACGCAATATTGGCTTGGTGTGTGAGATGTTGATGAGGAGATGGTTGGGGGCGTGGGCTCTGGATTGCTTAGTTTGTGTATGAAAGGCTGCTCCACGTGAGCCCTTTGCTTTCTCTAAAATTGGCTAGCCCGTGGAAGGGGAGTCTCTCCCCAGTCAGCCAGGCCACAAATGTCAGAGCATCAAGAATACAGAAAATATAGTTAATACAATTGACCCTGTGATGCATGGATGCCAGATAGACACAGAATCTTTTGATAAACTTTCATTTGGATAATTGAAAATTATTGGTTCCCTCCACCAAGGTATGAGAGAATGTACACTTACATGATAATAAATATCCATTTCTGAAAACAAAATGTCATCTACTTCGTATGCAGTATTTTGTTGATACAGTTTTAGTGGGAAATAAGTGTAGGTATGCCAGTTAAACAATCTGGCTGTGAAAATTTGTTACAGTGGTACAGTGGCACCTGGACAGTGATAATTTTTTTCAAAATTTTTTCTTACAGGATACATTGATTTGTCAAAAAGAAGAGTTTCTCCAGAGGAAGCAATCAAATGTGAAGATAAATTCACCAAATCCAAAACTGTAAGTTGATTTTTCAGTCAAATTAGTCCACTATTTAGGAGCTTAATGAATAATCAGCATGTGATGTTCCTGGCAGAAAAATTAAAAACTAAACTTAGGTTTAACTAACTGTAACTCTATTTCCATTTCCAATTATGTGTTACCTAGAAAATTAATTTGAAGGCTTAATTTCAAAAGAGTATGACCACAGTGTTTTTATCTCATGGTGTTACTACCTTAAAGCGTTGCTTATGATCTAATATTCTCAAATCAGTATTGGTAATTAGTGTTTTTAAGCTATTTTTGGTTAAATTAACTATGGGTGATTTCAGCTGATTTGGCTTGTCATAACATGTAGTTAAGATGTAGGTCTTGGGGCCGGCTGTGTGGCCAAGTGGTTAAGTTCACATGCTCCACTTCGGTGGCCCAGGGTTTCACCGGTTCGGATCCTGGGCACGGACATGGCACTGCTCATTAGGCCATGTTGAGGTGGCGTCCCACATACCATAACTAGAAGGACCCACAACTGGAAAAAAACAAAGTAAGAAGATTGGCAACAGTTGTTAGCTCAGGTGCCAATCTTTAAAAAAAAAAGATGTAGGTCTTGACTTTCAATTCTGTTCTGGGGTAAGGGTCACAGAGACAACCAGCTGTTGTATGTTAAGAATGAACAAGTGGGGCTGGCCTGGTGGTGTAGTGGTTAAGTTTATGCACTCTGCCTTGGAGGTGCGGGGTTCGCAGGTTTGGATTCCAGGCGTGGACCTAGCACTACTTATCAAGCCATGCTCTGGTGGCACCCCACATAAAATAGAGGAGGATTGGCACAGATGTTAGCTCAGTGACAATCTTCCTCACCAAAAACAAAACAAAAAAAAAACCACCAATGAGCAAGGGTTTGTAAAATGTCTGTGAATCCAGGAAAGCAAGGCAGGGGCCTTTTACTGGTTTGGGGTTTTTCCCCCTCCTTTGTTAGGGTTATTTCTTCTTCCTTTTCTTACTATTTTTGCTGTAATTTCCTACTTATCCACAGTAAGCACTAGTAAAACCATAACACTCATGTCTTCATCGTCTGTCCATATTTTTCTGTTCTCTGGTCCTTTTCAAGTTATCCTTCATTCCCTAGGTCTTTGGTTCTTAATGGCACTGTTTGCATTGTTTCTGTTTTCTTTGCCCTTCTTCTCTTTTGTTTTCTTCTGCCATGTGTTTCTGTCTTCAAGATAGAATGCCGAGAAAACAATGTTTAAATGAAGAGTAGATTTTAAAAATTTTGCTTAATCTCAGTAAAAGAGAATAAAAATCTAAAAGCCATCAGACCATTACCCAAATCTTTCCCCTTGTTTTACTGATGTGTTTGCTGTTACTGCAGTATGGTTTGCACGTTTGAAAACACTGTTGGTAAAATCCCGTTTTAATAAACTCGAGGACCTTGCCACTCATAGTGTAGTCTCTGGATCACCAGCGTTGATGTCACGTGACTGCTTATTAGAAATGCAGGATCTCAAGCCCCACGAAGTTTGCAAATCCAAATTTGAGGAGCACTGCTCTAGGAAACTTCAGTTTTGTCTTGTCTCCCCCTAGGATATTGTAAAATGGGTATGTTAGTAGATCTTATCATCCTGATAAGATAGTGCAATGAAATGGCCGGTCTTAGTACCTTTCATCATTTAATTTTCATGTGTAATTAACATGAAAACCTCCTTTCTTATGCTCTTTCTCTTCTTTAAGCCCTTTTATTTTTAGGAGTTTAGAAAAAGTTTGGCAGCAGTGGGTAGGAGGTGAGTAGGATTGAAGGATAACTGTTAAATGATAACAGAGCAAAAGAAATACTGAAATCTCATTGCTGGTTCCATGCTCTCATGTGGAGTCGTAGTAATAATAGCTTACATTTGTATAACAGGATTTGTATAATACATTTGTATCATATTTCCCATTTATAGTGTGCATTTGTATATATTTGATCTATGTAAGAGCTCTCTTCAGTAAAATGGAGAGATACCTGCATCTCCCTTTTCCAGATGAGGAAATAAATTCAGAGATTAATTTGCCCCAGAGTTGCCTTGATCTGGGTCTTAGAACGCTAAGTTCTGTACTGTTTCTACTTGTTATACCCATTTGAGTTAACTGTTATGGGACAGCAAATATTTCTCTATGGAGAAAGAGTTTGTTTTATGGCAATCTTTTATTGTTAAGGAGTTATTATAGTCAAATTAACCAAAGATTTGTTTTTATATGCTATCTACTAAAATGTAAAAATATCTGGTTTTTTAATAGATCTCTTCCTTTTGAGTTGTTGAGCTCTTCCTTTTGTTTCTAGGTTTACAGCATTCTTCGTCATGTTGCTGAGGTGTTAGAGTACACCAAGGATGAGCAGCTGGAAAGCCTGTTCCAGAGGACTGCCTGGGTCTTTGATGACAAGTACAAGAGACCCGGATACGGTGCCTATGATGCGTTTAAGCATGCAGTCTCGTAAGGACACCTTCTTGGCTCTGCTTCTACCTTGATATCACAGCTGCTGGGTCTAGCACACAGGTTGAGAGCCTGACATTTAACAGTACAACATCTGTGTATTAAGTCCTTGCCAAATTTAGATTAAAATATTTCAGTATAAAAGGCCCATGATGTGGGCCAATTCTATATAGCCAGGCCTGTGTAATTTTATATAACCTAGTTACACAGTTATATAAACCATATGGATTCATCTCACACTACTCCCTTACATATTTTCCTCTCCTGGTTTTGTTATTGTCCTAGGTGACTTCAGGACCACTCAGATGTCTCATTTAAAACTGAAACTTCTTGTTTTCTTTACTTCAGTCCCTTAGAGCTTCAGCCCATGCACTTTAGCCAGTCTTCCACGTGGCCTCAAGCTGGGTCTTACTATCACCAGGATGCACTCTGCCTCCAGAACCTTTGATTCACAACATTCTTTTCTTTTACCACAGCCTCCTGTCCTTCCAGCTCCCCCATAGTTAGTCCTACTCTATGTCTTCTTAATTCTTACGTGAAAGTCAGGCTCCAATTCCAAACCTTTTTTTCTCCCTGTCTTTTCACCGTTTCTTGCCTTCTCTTTCTTATTCAGCATAGATACACCATGGTCCATCATTTCAACAACTTTCTTGCCAGTATCATAAGCTTTTGCCCTGTTTTTCCTTCTGTTGCATCCAGCCTTGGATCGATGTTCCTGCCTTCTCTGCACTTGTAGACTGCTGGGTGCTGCTAGGACAAACCACAGGCTTGCAGGTTGGTGCCACTGCATATCCATGGTTTCCAACCTCAGCTGGGCCTTCACTGCTGCCCCACATTCTCTCTGCTTCTGATCAGTTCTTCCTCCCACTTTTAGAGTGGCTATTTTAGAGCTTCCCCACACTCTTCCTCAGATGCCCACTCCACCTCTCTTTGCTCTCTTCCAGCTGGTGTGCTCTTTATAAAGAAAATAGAAGCCAGTGCACAGTGTCTCCTCTACTTCCTTCCACTATCTCAGCAAATTTATCTCCATCCCACCTGTCATTACCCCCATGCTCCTGTCACACTGGGATTCATATACTTTCTGCTCTCAAACTAATCTTACACTTGGGCCCAGCTGTTGTTCAGGGATCTTTCCATCCATTATTCCTTCTCTTGAGTCTTCAGCCTTTCCCTTTATTGATTTTGCTCTATCAGCATAAAAATAATACTCTCATTTCTCCCATTTATACTAAAAAACAAACTTCTCAGCCTTCCTCTACTTTCTCCTATAGCAAACACTATGTCCTCTCCTTTTAACAGCCAGACTTCTTCAGTTCTCTGTATTAACGGTCCCTACTTTTGCAACTTCCACTCCTTCCTGAGTGTTAATGCTCCGTAAGCAGCCTCACTCCTGCACTGAGGTTACTTTCCCAACCCTTGTGCTGCCATGGGATATTGGTCCCCTCAGCCCTCAGAACGGCTGAGTGGCACCTGGGACTTAGAGCCTCTAGCAAGCCGACTCATTTGGTTCTCCAGATACCTTCCAGTTTACCCGCCATGTGACTTTTTTTTATATCATGTTGTGGGAAAGGTGAGAAGAATAATGATGATTATAATAGCTGACATTTATGTAATTCTCTCAGCAACCTATAGTATAAGTGCTGTTAATCCCCTACCTTATAGATGAAGAAACTGAGGCAGAGATTAAATAATTTGTCCGAGTTCACATAGCAAATGGTAGAATTTGCCAGAATTCAAACGTAGGCATGCTGGCTCCATCCAGAGTTTATGCTGTCAACCATTAAGCACTGGTTTATACAGCTGTCTTCCCTGACTTCAATCCTGCACTCCTCAGTACATTTCTTAGCTTGCTGTCATCTGGCCCTGGCTTACCTCTCTAGCTTCAATCTCCAGCACCCCCTCCATTACCACTCGGCCTTGGCATATGTTATTCCTTTCCCTTTAACTTGCTTCATCAGCCATGCAGCAACTGTCCAGATTTAAATAATGCTAATTCTTTGCCACATGTGCTTCATATTTTTTCTTTTAATTAAGAAATAAAATTTCTGAGATAGTTGGAAGCAATATTTTACCCCTCCCAACCCATTCCCCTCACTCATCAGTAGTAACCACTATTCTGAAATTAGTATGTATCATTATCATTTATGTTTTTATGGTTTTAATACATGTATGTATCCATAAAATAGATATAAAAGCATTTCATGTATTTAAAATGTATTCTTTATCTTTCTGTACCTTGCATTTTTACTCATAAGGCTGTTAGTGAACAGGATTTCTCCAAATTGATAGATGTGTGCCTACTTCATATTAATGTCTATGTAGTATTTCATTGTGAGAATATGCTGTATTTGTTCCTCTATTAAGAGAAATTTAGGTAATTCCTGCCTTGCTTTGTTGTCCCCCTTTTTCAAACAATGTTATGATGAATATCGATGTACAGTCTCTGTGTACGCATTTGGGAGTTTCTAAGGTATATACCTAAGAATAGGCTTGTTGAATCATAGGATTGATTGTATGTATCTTTAAATTTACTCACTTTTGCCAGAATACTCTCCAAATTGGTTCTACAATTTATATTCCCTCCAGCAATTGTATGAGTGTTCCTATTTCTCTTCATCCTCACTAAATTTGGTAAGGTGATATGCACTATATTTGGTGTACATCTCAGATGTTGTTGCCTCTTGCCAAACTGATGGATGTACAATAGTATCTTATTTTGATTTGCGTTCTGTTGGTTGTTGGTGAAGTTGTGCTTTTCTTATGTTTATTGATTGTATTTCTTCTATGAAACATCAGTTCATCTCATTTGCCCATTTTTTTGTTGGTTTGTCTTCTTGTTGCTTTGTAGGCAGTATTAGTTGAATGAAGATCCCTCACCCGAATTCTTTTGCCTCTCATTCCTCAACCTGTGATTTTTAAGCCTTATGCTTGCTTATGCCATTCCTTTTTTAATACATCCTACTTTCTTACAACAGTTCTACCTTTGTTTGTTAAACTCCTACTATTCTCTTAGTGATGATTTCATTTTTTAATTTATTCATTCAGCAAACAGGCCAGTGACTAAGACCCTGGTCCCTGTCTTGTGGCACTTAGGAGAGTCAGTTGAAATGCCACTTTATCCATAAAGCCCTTCCTGAGCCCAGTAACTGAAAGTAATACCTTCCCCTCCTGACGCCTGGGGGTGCACTTTTATTTTTAAATTTTTTTCCATATTTTTCTTTCCATGCTAGATTATAAGCTCCTTAAAGCAGGGACTGCTAATTACATGGAAATGCTTGATTATAGTGGGATGTCCTATGTGTTAGGAGACATTTTAAATTGCTTGCTTTGGCCAGATCTCTAAAATTTTTCTTTTAATAATAATCACTTGGAAGTTTTCTATTTGTCATAGCCTGCTAAGTGCTTTACTTGCATTATCTCGTTTAATACCACAAATCCTGTGAGATACACTGTTTTCATCCTCATTTTACACATTTAGAAACAGGTGTTTGGAAAGACTCAAAGACACATAGTTACTTAAGTGTAAAGCTAAGATTTGAACTCTAATTCTGATGCTGAAGCCTGTGCTCTTAAACATTATTGCGTATTGTGTTTGGTATTACAGTTATCAGTAAAGTAACGCTGACCTTTTGGTGTTGATTTTTTTATCAGGGACCCCTCTATTTTGGACAGTTTAGATTTGAATGAAGATGAACGGGAAGTACTCATTAACAATATTAATAGGCGTTTGACCCCACAGGCAGTCAAAATTCGAGCAGGTAAATGATTTTTTAAATGATGTTGAAAATATTTTGCATGTCCCAAAAAAGCTGTTAAATAATGAGCCTTACCAAAGAATATGTTGCTACATCAACATCTATAAATTTTTCTAAATGTTTGTTTTTCATTATTTTTACTTCTACTGAATCATCATAAAATGTGTATATTGACATGAGTGAAAACTGTCGTGAGTTCAGCTAACTTGTTAGCCTTTTTTTTTTTTTATAAAGGAGGGTGTTTATTTTGTTTTAGTAGATGCTTTAAAATATTCTTACAATACAGTAATATCCTCCCCTGTGTCTGGATTAATGGTGTTAATAGTTTGGAATATTTCAGACATTTTTCCTATACACATATATGTATAGGAAAGTATGCTGTTTATATTCTGATATAAATTTTTCTGTTCTTAGATGCGATAATACTATGCAAAATTTTCTCTAACTGGATTTTTCTACATGGTGTATCAAGGCTGCCCTTCCATGTAGAACATAGGAATCTTTCGTTCTTTTTAATTCTAGGTAATATTCCATAGAACGATAAACCTTAACATAAACCAGTGCCCTCGTGAAGAACATTTAGGTTGTGCCAAATTTTTCATTTTTATGAAAAACTGCAAATTAACACCCTTATATATACATAGTTACTCATTTATACAAGTGTTTTGTAAGTCACATTCCTAAAAGTAGAACTACTGAGTCGAAGGGCATGCAATTTCTAAACTGTAAATAATTTGCAGTTATTGTTTCATTCAGTCTTCATAACACACCTTATCTCCATTTCACAAATAAAGAATTGAGGCACAGAGAGAGGTTGGAATCAGAATTCTAACCCAGGCATAGCCAGAATTCACGGTGTTTGTTAATTGTTTCTGTCTTTTATAGTTTCATCATTCAGGGGCTTGATGTGGATGAGAAGATATGATTTCATTGCATATTCAGATATTTTTAATTATGAAAGTTAATAGCTGGGATTAGTTTCTAATTGAAAGGATGATGAAAGCTTTCATAAGTATTTGAATACCAGCGTACCTGCCATATCTCTGATTTCTTTTAAGCTTTTAAACATTTTTTTGCATTTTTTGGTATAAGCATTTGAATTTTTATAATTTTAGATATTGAAGTGGCTTGTTATGGTTATGAAGGCATTGATGCCGTAAAAGAAGCCCTGAGAGCAGGTTTGAATTGTTCTACAGAAACTATGCCCATCAAGGTGAGTAGTCATTTTTTCCCTCCTTGCTGAATTATCTACCTAAACCAAATCAGATTTTTTTATGATCATGTTTCATAACAAGTGTTATGAAAAGTGGTTTTCATTGTTATTTCTAGGGGATATTTACGATTATGGTTAGGCTTTTAGTTGCAGTCACTGCTACTGTCACAGTAGATGGGGATTCCTATTGGTATTTAGTGCCAGAGGACTAGCTATGCTAAACCTCCTTTACAGTAAAGAGTTACTGTGCCCATAATGCTCATAGAATCTTGAAAAGGGCAGCATATTCTCTCATATTCACACACAACTTTTAGAAGGTTTGGTCTGAATCTTTCATTAGTGGTAAAATTAACTGGATGATTGTTATTCACAATCTCTTAAGAATTTCTTCTATCAGCTTAGTTTAGAACCACATAGGAATTTTTGTTTGTTTTAAAGACAAATAATCCATTATGCTGATAATTACTGTAGTTAGTTTTGCCACCAAAGACACCCAGAAGTCATAATTCTTCATGTTCAGGACTGCAGTGGACTGTATATTCTACTGGATTGGATCACTGTATCAGTTAGCTTTTGCTACATTAACAAACCACCCCAAATTTGCTGACCTACGGAATTGGAAATTAAGTTTTGGGGGTGATTTGTTAAGGCAGCAGATTAACAGAACAGTTCTCAAACATCCTAATGTGTGTTCTGTAGGTACATTCATGTTGAATTTTTGTCATCTTAGATTAATCTAATAGCTCCTCCTCGGTATGTGATGACTACAACAACCCTGGAGAGAACAGAAGGTCTCTCTGTCCTCAATCAAGCTATGGCTGTTATCAAAGAAAAGATTGAGGAAAAGAGGGGTGTCTTCAATGTGCAAATGGAGGTGAGATCAATACTGTTTTTGCCTTGTTTTTAAGAAATTTAAATCATCTAAATGATTCGTATTCTAAAATACCTAATCACTGCCTTTTAAAACATGAGATACATTTAGGATTACAACTCTGCTAAGCATAAAAGAATCATTGACTTAGACGGTTCCAAAAAGGGCTTTTTATAAGTCAATAAGAACTGTCTTGGGATGGTTATTTCAGACTGTGGTCACTGATGGTGTTAGGTTTTTTACCTCTCCAGGGGAAAAAAAAAAATACAATGAAAATGAGTGATTAGTTATTGTCAGAATTTAATGTGGAATGCTTAAAATTTGATCTCAGGATTAGAAACAAGAGTAGTCTCCTGTAGTTTTCATCATCTCAACAAGAATGAAACCTAAATTTCATATGTGTATGTGTGTGTATGATTCCTTCTGTGGAAAGGAATAGTAAGTAACTTATTTTGAACCCAGAAGATGCATTTTTATAGGACATCTTTTTGTGGGTTTGAAAGATACAGCCACTGAGATTATTTTTATTATATTTTCAGTTTTTGTTTATAAAAATGACAAATAGTAGGGGCTGGCCCCGTGGCCGAGTGGTTAAGTTCACGCGCTCCGCTGCAGGCGGCCCAGTGTTTCGCTGGTTCGAATCCTGGGCGCGGACATGGCACTGCTCGTCAGACCACGCTGAGGCAGCGTCCCACATACCACAACTAGAAGAACGCACAACGAGAAATATACAACTATGTACTGGGGGGCTTTGGGGAGAAAAAGGAAAAAATAAAATCTTAAAAAAAAAAAAAAAATGACAAATAGTATTCTATTTTAATACACATATTTCTTTTTCCTATATTGTCTTGTTCTCATAAATTTGTTCTATTATTTATCTAATGGAATTTATTAGTGATATGTCAGCACTCAATAGATATGGCAGAGTTGTTAGAAAGAAGTGTTTCTTAAAGAGTTAAAATACCATGCAGTAATAGTATTGAAATTGAATTTGTGTACTATTTAACCACTTCACTTTGAAACTATGCCTCTGCTTCCACAGCCCAAAGTGGTTACAGATACAGATGAGACCGAGCTTGCAAGGCAACTGGAGAGGCTTGAGAGAGAAAATGCAGAAGTGGATGGAGATGATGATGCAGAAGAAATGGAAGCCAAAACTGAAGATTAACTTTGTGGGAAACAGAGTCCAGTTTAAGGAACACAGAGCAGCCCTTCCTGGCTGTAAACCCTAGACTTGAAAGTTTTCCAGTATTGAAAACTTCAAAGCTGAATATTTTTTATTTCCAAGTATTTAAATGTTCCAGCAGACCAAAACGTGAAATGCCCTCCTGAATGTCAGCTGTTTTCACATAGTAGCTCTAATACATTTTTAAGGGAGTGGCCTGATTTCACTAGACACAAATCTTTAAGCTAAGAACAGTCATAAAATTGGGCTTGTGGTTTCCATTTCTGATGTCTCCAGATTGGCACCCCCTCGTAGTTCAGTGCTCCCGTGAGATTTGCCAGGGGCACCCAAAGCAAATAGTCCCAACCTTTCTATATAAAATGTATCAAGCAAACATTAAATAAATTTCTGGGATATTTAACCATAGGTTTCTTCCTTCTTATCACCAGTTAAAAGCATTATGAATACTTAAGACCCTAATTCTATTATCTTCATTTTAGCCTAGATGTAGAAATAAAAGGGCAGGTGACCAAAGGATCTACAGAGCAGATCCTTTCAAAAGGAGGATTTAGAAAAAATTTTACCTTTAATCACAATGAAAGCTGACTCTTAGGGAAAAAAAGCCTTAAAATGCAATTAAAGATTACATTGGTTGTATGCCTTTTACCTATTTGAGACTGATGACAACATGTGGTATGAGGGAGAGTTTATCACACTGCATTGTTGGTGCACTAAGCTGCTTGCCTTGAGTTTGTAATTCAGGGTGGTAAAGTATGGTTTTTTCCTTAAATGCTGCTTCTCTAATTTAGTTATTTTGAGTATCATCGCACAGCTTTTGATTTTTTTCCCATTAAAATATTCACTAGGTGCCACCGAGAACTTCAGTTCTCTTTATAACAGAATAGGGATGTTTGAACACAATTACAACAATATTTCTACATGTTTCCATCATTTTTATCTTTAAGAACTAATTATTTTAAAGGTATATAAATTTAAAGATAAATCATAAATATAAAGGTGAATAAATTTCATAGATAACATATGGTTTGAAGTTATAGCTACAGTAGCCAGGGTGTAGAAAGTCTTGAGTTACTTTGGTCTGCCTCATAGATTTAATCTCAAGATACTTGAGGTTTTAAATATATTAATTTTATTAATTATTCCTAAGAATAGCTATTTAAATACTTAGAAGATAAACCTAACCCATGCTGGTCAATCCAGGACTAGACTCAATATTAAAGGGACTGAAAAACAGCAGAGTGTGTTGGTGAGACAGTTTGGCCATTTGTGAAAGTTTGTCCCTTTGTCTAATTTAGCAGACTACAAGCTTTTTAAATCCAGAAGTCTAATTTCATATGGCCATTTCCACAAGGGAGTTGTGATTGCTAGCTAGCATGCTGCACTGGGAATATTTAGAGGATAATCCAGATGTGCTCAAAACTGGCACATAATTTCCACCACTGTCTTTTTGAGGAGTCAAAAAAGAAGTCTGTAAAGCTTGCAGCATCAAGAATGTCATTGAAATAGAAAGGTGTTCCTTAAATGTTTGCTGTAGGCAGGGGAATTGAATTTTTACTGAATTTTTTAATACTTCAGAAGCCATAACTGTTGAGAAATAAGGTGGCCTCTGTGGTGAGTGGTTTTATCCCATGCAGGCCTTTTGCTCAATTCCATAACAATTTTACAAATTTATGACCCTTGCCAGAGAAGAGATCAATACCTCACTGACACCATAAAAGAGAAAACTAACTCAAAGTATAAATATATCCTGCTGACCTAAAAGTATCCCTTTCCACTATGGGGACAGGATACACACCCAGTTCCAAATAACTCGAAGGACAGATTGACTAAGACAACTGACCAGCTTATCCAAATCTTGACTCTCTCCCTAAAAAGCTTCTTCATTAAAAATTAATTTCGTCTATTCCCCATTCTGCTTTTGAGGTCAAGTGGTTATCAACTCATATAACTGAAGATTAGCAATAGTTTGGTTCTCATTTATGCATAAATTAATTGAAATAAAAAATTGCCAAGAAAAAATACAAACATTCAAACTTTTTCATGTTTTATAGGAAAACAGGACAAACCAGTACTTAGGTGGATAATGTTCAGCCATTGAGTGGGAACCTACAGAGATGGGCTCAGCACTACATCATGCTGAGCAGTACAGTTGTGACAGTTGCCGTGCTTCCAGACATTCTTGACCTAGCTCCCTACCTTTACATCAAGGACAATTAAATGAAAATGGTTCAGGATTTTTAAAAATTCAGGTGCTAGTATCTTGGTGAGAGTTGTTCCCTGATTTGCCTCAAGCTGATGGTCATTTACTTTTCAATGCGTGAAGATTCTGACGTCTCCTATACAGAGTAGATGCAGTTGTGCCAATTTGGAGTCAAGAAGCCATCAAACCAAATAACAGTTTAATTCCAAAAAACACCTGTTGATAATTTAAAAAGCAATAAAGAAACTAATTCCAGGGACATTAGACCTTGGTGAAATGCCAAATGGAAAATGGTGCTTTAAAAGGCAGTCTCTTACAGTGTAAGGAATAAAGTAAAACCTCATTAACTTGGAATTCCTGATCATTCAGGGCAGGTATTCTAAACAAGATTAAGAGGAGACAGTTCAAACTATTTAAGAGGACAAATTTTTACTTACGTACTTTGGAAGTATCTACTCCCCTTAAGTGTAAGTTACATATCTATTCATTAAAGGCAGTCTAAGTACTTGGCAAGAATGCTGGGAGTAGCTTGTGCCAGATTACTGTATAAACTTGAAAGTAATAAAAATATTTTTAAAGATTTGTATGATACAGACTTTTCACTACTTCAGATTAACCTCCTAACTGGTGAAGCCTCTTGGTACTTATTTGTCTCAGTTACTGTTCACTTTAAAACCAAAATTTCATGCCTTGATTTAATTCTTTTCCCATTTACATCTTTCTCTGTCTAGAGAGTTCCTGCTCCTGTCCTCTAGCAGCTCCTGCTCTGCATCTCTTTCCAAATGCCATTTTTCATAGAAAAGCTGTCATTTTACCTTCTTTTTCCATGTGTGACTGATCTTTCCAACTGAGTCCATGATTTCTTTTCTGCAATATAATACTTATGCAGACTTACTTTTCAAAGCAAAACAGTATTCTCTGAATGTTGAGCCAAAGTTTTGCCACCATCCTCACTTTAAGATGAAGCATGTCTTAGTGACACAGATCACTTGAGATGTTTTCATACTCAGCTTGCATAATAATTCATATAGCCTCAAGCATGGGAAACCTTTGAAAACTATACAACTTTGCACAGGAATTCTAATAGAAACAAATGTCAATTTTTATTAATTCCAAAGGAGGAGGTAAGAATTGTTAACAGCATTTCAGAGCTGCCGTGAGACTAGCGTTTTATTTAGTTTACAACATGTCCAGTTAGTGTTACAACAAGGGAAACTTTGGTGCCCTAGGAATGGCTGGCTGTGCTGATGGGCCAAAGTCAAGATGCTGATGCCTAATGCCTGTTCTAGCATTTCCAGGTTGTTAACATGAAGGTGGGGAAGGAAATAGCACCACTGCCATCTAAGGACCTCTTCGCCCATCTCACTCCATAGCAGTACAAAACACACAAAGAAGTTAAAGGTCTTAACACATCCCCATTCTCCAGGACATCCTGCCTGTATCCTGTAGGAGGGAGGAATCCTGGTCCCGTTTCCTCAGGTCCTTATCACGTTAGCTTTTTGATAGCTTCAATCCACTCAGCTCGCTCAGCCTTGCTGCTGGCCTGGATGTAATAGTGTATGTCATCCTTAGTAATCACTTTGAAGAGATTTCCCTGGACATTCCCTTTGACTCCTAGGCAGAAAAAAATAGTGAGTATCCATGTCTGCTTTCAGCTGCAAGCAGCTGAAAGTCGACCAAGACACAGAAAAGACACACATAATGAAGCATTTCTTAAATACAAATGTATATGGTTAGGGAATCCCACCAGATGCATGCTTTCCTCTTCCTCTCTTCCATTCCCTCCCCCTTGCCTGTGCCTTAAGGCATGCCAGTGGTACATGTGGACACACTTGGAAGCCCTCTTGGCCAGCCCCCTATGCTAACCATAGATTACAATTTCACATGAAAGAATCCAATATGTTTATGTTAACAAGCAGGCACAGATTTGGGATTTGACTAAATTGTTTAACTTCTCTGAACCTCAATTTCCACATCCATAAAAATGGGAATAATACTATCTTCCTATATTAGCTAATGTGAAATTAGTGTGATAATGGATATCAAATGTGTTGTTAACCCTTAAGCACTGTGTAAGCTATTATTCTCAAATGGAAGCTTATGGGCCAGTGAGCACAGAAACTGAGGGGAAAATGTTAAAGACAAGGATTATTTAGTTGTATTGTTAAAACACTAAGAACACCCCATATGCCCTTTTCTCTAATTCTGAAACTGGCTTCAAAACTCACACCATTCATGGTCTCACTGAGAAAGACCTACACAGCTCCCACAGCTCAGTCCTTCATCGGCAGACCATTACTGAGAGGGTGGGAGGGAGGCCTCTGAGATCTTCGGGCCAGGGCCAAAGTTGCACCTTACCAGTGGGAACGCCATTATCCTCCAGAGCAGACACCAGTGAACCACGGAGAGAAAACCCACCCACTGGCCGGTTCTCTTCCTGCAGAGGAGAGGGGACCTGATTAGGAACTGCACAGATGCACAAAGGGAGGAGTTGCACTCTCGCCTATAACCAGCCTCAGGCCAGCTAAAGAAGTCAGCGAGAGAGTCTTTTGTAATAGAAGATGAGGTTGAACTTGGACATCACATGGTCAAGTTATATGTACCAGTAAGGTGGGTTGGGCTTCTTCATTTCACAGCCAGCAGCAGCAGCGCCACACCCCTCCCTGGCTTTGGCCCTCCCTGTGCTCTGTCTTGATCCCAGGGTGCTCCTCACACTCCTTCACCGGCTCCTGGTTTAGGAAGGGAGTTTTTTTTTAAAGCTTGGCCCTGAGCTAACATCTGTTGCCAATCTTTTTCCTCTCTTCTTCTCCCCAAAGTCCCCCAGTACATATATTCTAGTTGTAGGCCCTTCAAGCTCTGCTATGTGGGATACCACCTCAGCATGGCTTGATGAGTCGTGCTAGGTCCACACCCAGGATCCAATCTAGCAAACCCCGGCTACCAAAGCGCAGCGCGCAAAGGTAACCGCCTGGCCATGGGGCACCGCCTGGCCATGGGGCAGCCCCTGGAGGGAGTTCTCGACTGAAGCTCAGTGAGGGAGGAACTGCCCACTCTCCACTATTTCAAAACAATGAATGAAAATCATATATCTGCCAAGACAAGGCTGAAGAGGCTAACTAAAAGGCCATTTTTCTTTTCTTTTGACTGGAATTAGATCAACTCAGCATGCAGTAATACTTATCTGAAACTCAGAACAGCAATTCTTTGATCAATTAGGGGAAAAAAGTGAGAAATTATGGCTTAAATATTATATGGTAAAAGAAACTTTGAAAACATCAGTGGTGACGAGGTTGAGGGGGCAGAATTCATGGGCTCTTTGGACAGAAAAAGATGAAATGGCTGGGAATCACCAGTTAGGAGTCCCTTTATCAGCCCACCTCATCCTCCCTAGCCACCCAGTAAGCTTTGGAGAACCTAAAAGATGCCTTCCCTCTCAAAATAATGAAGATCCCCTCCCATGGGAAGTGGCGGGCGAGGCATCAAAGAAACTACTGAGAAGAGAAGAGTGATCAGACTGTTAGGAGTAGCTTGGACTGTGGAAAGGAAGGCCCAGTGCAGCGGAAGTCATGGTAGGGATGCTTAGAGGAAGGAAGGAAGAGGAGCCAGCTGCCTGCTATGCTCGGAGAGCAATGTCTGCAAGCATCACACGGGGTCCCGAGTGAGCCCTCACTCACCTTGGAAGGGTCGTAGTAATGCAGGAAAGCCGGCTCCTTTCTCAGAACAAAGCGCCGCACCTTCCAGTTTTTCCTCTTGTGCCCCTGAGGCAAAGGAAGGGTTCAAGGTTCACTGGTGAGGCTCTGAGTAATTCCTCCCACTTCCACGAATCTAGTGCCAAACCTCCAAGCCAGGCTGCGCCAATGGGACTACTGCTAAAAAGAGTTTGCGGAAGACCAAGGATTGCATGGACTTCCCAGTGCTCAGTGACACTTTAGCAAAAGCAGCGTCACATTTAGTTGAGTTGACAGAGCCTCAGAGGGTCAGTGCTGAAGGAAAGGGGGAGCATTACCCAGATACCACTCAGGGCACAAGGAGGACAGGGAGGCAGCAGGTGTCAACTAGACTGAGGGCTCACAGGCAAACTTGAACCCAAGGGCACCAACTTTTAAGTGTCAACTTAATCCCAAACCAAACCTACAGCTGCATGTATATATGTGCACACATATACAGTAAAAACCACTTTAAAAAGTTCTGCATCAGAAAAAGAGTAAGAAATGATCAATTACATGATCAATTAAAACCTAAATGTGTAAGATATCAATGTGTGTGTGACTCTCTTTGGCTCCACCCCCTAGATCACAAAGCTTCCTCAGCTCTCTAGTCTGGAAGCCCAGAGTCCCCCCCACACGCCCTTGCGCCCTTCCGGGGGCCTCACCACCTCCCCTCACTAGACTCCCAGGGGGCCCAGCAGAAGCCAGGCCCTTGGGATAGGCAGGCAGTTGCGTGGATGGTGAATAATCTAAGAGCAGATGGAGATCCTGATATGCAAGAAGCAGATGACAAGGACAGCACGTGCTCCCAGTGACAATGGGAATGGCGCCAAGCAGTGGGGAATGGCGCCAAGCAGTGTCTGTTGCACAGACGCATTCACACAATGTGTGAGATGCACACAAACACGAGGAGTGTGCAGAAGGTCTGCTTACTCTCCATGTGCTGGGACTCGGTGATCTTGTTCACAGAACAGCCTTTCTGTTAGGCACAGGTGGAAATGCCGCAGGTGTGACTGTGACCTGGCTGCTCTCCCAAACGCGGGTAGGAGCAGTGGCCACAGTTATTTTTTTTTTTTTGGAGGAAGATTAGGCCTGAGCTAACATCTGCAGCCAATCCTCCTCTTTTTGCTGAGGAAGACTGGCCCTGAGCTAACACCCGTGCCCATCTTCCTCTACTTTATATGTGGGACGCCTACCACAGCATGGCTTGATGAGGGGTGCCATGTCTGCACCTGGCATCCGAACCAGTGAACCCCAGGCCACCGAAGCAGAACATGCACGCTTAACCACTGGGCCGGTTCCATGGCCACAGTTTTTAAGTACTGAAACTACACTGCAGAATTTCATCTTCAACCTACTGAAGTAGGTGGAGAAAATACCTATTTTTTGTTCGGAAAGTGTATCAAGAGGGTGTACAGAGTCACACAAAAGAAGGCAGAGACCTCAGGAAGCCTCAGGGAGCAGAAGGCCAGCAAAGGCAGAACACCCACCCAGCTGGCAATACCCCTCCAGACAAATATGTGAACTAGGCAGTGATGTTGTTTTTAATGTTGTGATAATTACTTGTGTGTACCTTTTCCCTGAACACATGTCTGGGACTTGTGCGTGCACAGTGGACATGTGCACGCCCCCTGACTTGCACCCTGCAGCTGTTGCTGGGCTCCTGCTTCAGCAGATTCTGCTAATAAGCAGTGCCCTCTAGCAGTCCCAGCTCTCCCCCACTTTAGGGGCGTTCCTGCCTCCCCGCAGTCTGGGAACCATCCATCTCCTCCCTGCTCCAAGGCAGCCATACCTGCTTGGCCAGATAGCCTTGTTTGACCACTGTGCCACTTAGCTCCATGGTGCTGAGACTGATTTCTTCCTTGGGGCTTATCTTCTTCTTGTAGCTCTCAGCCTAGTGGGAAGGACTCTGTTACAGAAAAGTCCCCGTTCCAGGCTGTGGGGGCTACCATAGGGCACAGAGAATTCCTCAATAGAGAAACCCCACTCCCCCAAACCCTAGGCCTCTCACCCACGACTGTGGCCACCTGGCTCCCAATCTGTTGCCTCTTTCTTCCCTCTGCCCTGGTACAAGAGGAACACACTCCCCAACTTACAAAAGTATACAGGGCTGTGGAGTCATCCAGGAACTGCTCGGCCAGATCCCCTGAGCGGATGGCTCCCATGCTTCGGGCGCCTACCGGCCTTAGGAAGTTCTCTTCCATGAGCACAGAGGCCAGGGTCACAGCCTCCAGACGGTTAGCTGCAAAACTGTTGGAGATGAGCCAGTCCACCATGGAGGAGCCTGCATCCGGGCAAGGGCAGCACCAGTCAGACAATAAACTACAGGTCAGCCTCCTTGGGGGTGCTCAGCTGTGACCTCATTCACTTTGACCTCCTGGGCAGCCTTGAGGCTCTACCCAAGAGTAGACCGAAGGGCACACCTGCTGCACAGAGTTTGGCCATCTCAGGCCAGCCTGCTGGCCGGCAGGCAGCTCTGGCCTCAACACAGGCTGGTCTAGCACAGCTGAGTCCTGGATCACCATGCCCCAGGCTTCCACGGCCCGGCCCCAGAGGAGGCTCACCTATGAAGGTCTTTTTGTAGGTGCTTCCCTGCTCCATGTTTGGGCTTGACCGGATTCCGCTGCTACTGTTGTGCATCTTGTCCACAATGCAACTACACGGGAGGAAGGCAAAGGAGGGGGACCCTCATCACACTGACAGATATGAAGGAGGGTCCAAGAATCGCTGCTAAGGGTACAAAGCAAGTGGCAAACCGTAGGCTACAGGTCACAAAGAAACAGGGGTATTCCATTATGCACCAGTATTTGAGAGGTAGGGTTTTAGGATGTGTCTTTTCTTGTTGCTCATAAATGTTCTAATATTTCTATACTAGACAGGTACTACTTTTGTAGAAAAACTAAAGAGCTGTGACTTTTAATTTACAAACAAAAGAATGTACAGTAACGATTCTCTGTGAGCTACAGCATTGAGTCCCAACTCCTCCAGCCACTTCTCAAAGTCACCCATCACTTGAATCCATTCTCATCGGCCGCTGCTCCTCAGTCCTAGCCATGGTTTAGCAGCTCCATATACACATAGACACACAATCAAGATCTTAGGGCCTGGTGTGCAGGTTTTTGTGAGCCCAGGGAGGGACTCATACAGCATCTTTGACAGGTATCCCAGTTCTGCTGCCTGAGAGGTCAGGGGTGTTTCCTGCGTGGGCTGTTGTAAGTTTCCACGGGAACTCCGATCACACATCCCTGCTTCACAGTACCGCCTCCACCACTGACCTGTTTTCCTCCTGTTTTGTGGGACGATTCCTGCCACCAATGGAAGATCTTTTCTCATTTTCTATTTATACACTTGGGCTGGACAGCCTGAGATGAGACTTTGTTTATTCCCATTTGCATCTCCTGAGCATCTAGTGCAGTGTAAGGCATGCAGTAAGCACTCATAACTGTTTCTTTTTTTTTTTTAATTTTTATTTACTTATTTATTTATTTTTTTTTTGAGGAAGATTAGCCCTGAGCTAACATCTGCTGCCAATCCTCCTCTTTTTGCTGAGGAAGCCTGGCTCATAACTGTTTCTTGAATGAATGAATGAATGAGGAACCCCACAGAACAAGAACACAACTGCTACCAGAACACATCATTCTGGCCATCAGGCTGCGAGCAAGACCAATGATTTGGAGATTCCTGGGAAGCTGCAACAGAGCCCTGAACATCCTGGCTGAAACTGGAGGGAGGGTATCAAGACATTGAGGGGGGCAGGAGTAGTTGAGGCCCCAAGAGCTTACAGAGGAGCAGGGTGGGTAGGTAGGGCCATTCCCAGGCAGAGAAAATGATATAAAGATGACAGAGGACAGGGAAAGGCCCTGAAGCACAACGGTGGTACAAACCAGGCCTGTGTAGCAACAACAGAGCCCCCTCTCACTGCGCACAGACAGAAGAGGCGGCAGCAAAGCCGAGCAGGGTGAGGGGCGGGGCCAGGCACTTACTGCAGGCTGATGTGAGGGGGCAGCTTGAAGGAGTTTTTCAATATGTGCAGTTGCTGGACCTTCCCTGGCTGCCCAGCGTGAATAGCCCCTGTTATCTCAAAGGCCCAGGCGTCCCTCTCCTCTCGAGAACAGGCCTCCAGGAAGTACTCCGTGGATGTTCGAGTCTTCAGCTTAATGAGGAGCTGTGGGAAGAGACGGCCAGTCAGACCAGCACTTAGAGGCCGAGCAGGTCGGGCAGCAAAAACAATGAGGCCGAGTGAATCTAGGAAACCGTACGGTCCAGTGACTGGCAAATGCCAGACCCCTCCCCTGCACCCCAGCAGGAGGTCTTTAAAGATTCGCTTGTACCCCTCTAGTGACAGGGAGCTCACAGCCTCAGAAGGCAGCCTTCCTCTTTTGGACAGAGTGCATAGCATAGGGACTGCTTCCTGGGTACTCTGCCTCCCTGCTTCTGATTCCGCCTTCTAGAAGCACATAGGTTAATCTCACCTCCCATGACAGCCCCTGCACTGAAGTGGGAAATGCACAGGCTTTCAAGTCAGACCGATCTGGATGCAAATCCCAACTCTGCCACTTAGCTACAGATGCTTGGGGACATTAAGGAAGCCCACTTTCTCCATCTGAGGTATGAGAAGGAACTGTTGTGCATTCCCCCTTTGACCCTCTTTTCTCAGGTCTAAGCATCCCCGAGTCTTTCACACATTCCTCAACCAGTTCACGCTCTGCTAAATGTTCTGCAGTTGGTCAACATTCTCATAAAATATGAGAATGGAATGGAACACACTGCTCCAGGAAAGGTTTGAGGGGTGCAGGGCAGCATGGGCCAACACAGCCCTGAGGTCATATTAGCTGTGGGCAGTGACAGGTCACTGTGGACTCATACTCCACCCAGTCAACTAGGAGTCTTTCTTGTAGGCCACATCTCCTCCATCAACTTTTTTTTTTTTTGGTGAGGAAGATTGGCCCTAAGCTAATATCTGTTGCCAATCTTCCTCTTTTTGCTTGAGGAAGATTGTTGCTGAGCTAACATCTGTGCCAATCTTCCTCTATTTTATACGCAGGACACTGCCACAGCATGGCTTGATGAGTGGCATGTAGGTCCACGCCCAGAATCCAAACCCGAGAACTGAAGCAGAGTATGCAAACTTAACCACTACGCCACCAGGCCAGTCCCATCTCCTCCATCCTTTAAATGTGCATTTAGGGTTTTTCTGGACCATTGTGGGATTTTGCATGCTGACCCTATTGAATGTCATCTGAGTAGACTGGGTCTAGCACTTCTGCTGGAAAACAGAAGCCTTCTATTTCATTCTGATTCTGTTTTCTGATGTATTAGCTCCCAACATGCTTTGCTTGCAAACTTAATCAACATCCCTCACCTAAACTAACAGCGAAAATGGTGGCTAAGACAAGGCTGGCTCACAGTCCCAAAGAACACCGTGAAGCTGTCCCTCCAGGTTAACACTGACTCACTCAGCAGTGCCGTGGGAGAGCGAGTGCGAGCAGTTCCCCGTGGCTGCACCGGCCGTCTGCAGTGCACCATTTGAACGGAAGAACTTCAGGAGAGGCTATAAAATTCCACGTGAAATCCAGACACACTCTTTTATAGCCTCCCTAATAAAAAGTATATATGTACAGACACATATATAATATACTTTATAACTTGTTCTTAGTGAAGTGCTGGCTCCTCTCGGCCTCTTCCAGCTCAAGCACTCGTGAACCAGGCAGACAACAACGTGTTTGAGAATTTTATGTAGAATTAACACGAAGTTCACAACTCCAGTCAGCAAATTTAACTTTTTTCCTTTTTTTGAAACTTTGAACAAAGTTTTCCTATCACCAGACCATTCAACCAGCCCTTCTGCGCTCCACTGAGCCTTAAACATAACTAAGGGGCATCTGGTGAACAAGTTAACTTACAAATTCCAGGATTTAATTCATTGAGACCTAAAGTCTTAAATTCACTTAAAGACTAGGTTTTCCTCTTAAAATGCTCTCACTCATCTGCAAATATTTCCTCTTTGTTCAGCATTTATTCAACAAACTTTCACTAAGCATCTACGATGGGCCTAGACGTTGTGTTGGGTCTTACGATGCCAGAAAGAAGAAGACGCAGACCCAGGCTTCTCCCGGGTTCAGCGGCCCCACCCCACTCCGACAGAGAGCCACCCCCACCTGACTCCTCTCTTTTAACCAGCGGCAGCTCCAGGTTTGCAGTGCAAATTCTAGAATTTCATTTCATTTTCGTTTCAAATTTCATTTCAAATGTCTGAATGAAATTCAGATGTTTCATTTTCTCAGCCTCCTGGCCTGGAATGACATTCGATGCTTCCCTCTCCCTTGCCCTCAACATCCAGTCAACCACGTCCTATTGATATTTCCTTCAATAATGTTTTCTCCTATTTATCCCTTCTTTTTGCCTTATTTCATGCCTGATTATTTTAATAGCTCATTTTGGTTTTTTATTTAAGAAAAATTTTAAAGTACAGAAGGGTACAGAGGTTAGCATAACAAACACCAGTAAACCCACCACCCAGAATTGACCATCATGAACATTTTCTTAGAAGTTTCGTCAACTGGTCTGGAAGAATCAAAAAAGAAAAACATGATAAGAAAGAAGAAAATGGTAAGATCCCCTCATAATGGACCTAGCAATCGTATCAGGAACTGAGCTTAGTTCCTCATTTTAGTCTTCCTAAGAGAGTTTCTATCAGTCCATTCACTCAAAACCTTCAATGGCTCCCCATTCCCTCCATCTGGCCCTGGGCACTCTCCCACTGCTCTCTCAGCGAACGCTCCCCTTGGGCCGCACTGGCCGTCCTCATCTCCAGATCTATCCCTATCTCCAGCCTGACTTTTACCCAAGCCCTTCCCCCTGCCCAGAACATCTGCCTCTCTCCTCTTTCAGATCTTTGCCCAAATCACTATTCCTCTCAACGCCTGTACCTGACTCAGACAATCTATACAGACGTCCTCCTCCTCAGGCGTGCAATGTTCTCTACAGCCAATGACGTTTCTACCATCATTTGGGACTCTGAATGTTTTTCAGTTAACCACTTGCTTTCATGATAAAATTACTAACTTAAAAAGAAGCGATCCTGGGGCTGGCCTGGTGGCCAAGTGGTTAAGTTCGTGCGCTCCACTTTGGCAGCCCAGGCTTTGCAGGTTCAAATCCTGGGTGCAAACCGAGGCACTGCTCATCAAGCCATGCTGTGGTGGCGTCCACATACAAAATAAAGGAAGATTGACACAGGGCCAATTTTCCTCAAAAAAAAAAAAGCAGTGATCTTACCATTTTCTTCCTTGACTCCTCCAAGTCTAGGAAATTTCTTGGCACATAATGGGCCCTCAATAAATGATTGATTCAGATACTTTTTTGATGGTTTGGTTGAGCCTGTTTGGAACGTGCACCCCTTAAGGGATGAAAACCATCATACTGAACCCCAAAATAGCAGCAATTATTCACATTTGTGAAGTACCTCCTCGCCTACAAAAGGTTTTGACAGACCATTACCTTCATGATCCTCATCACAACCACGAGAGATAATCAGAGGTCATTATTTTGTCTCATTTTACAGACAAGGAACTCAGGTGCAGAGAGCCTCAATTCCTTGCCCGAGGTCCCGTGCCTGGTACGTGGTGCAGCCAGGATTTGAATGTAGGTTTCTCACTGATAACTCAGCTCTGCCCATTACCCACACCATCTTCACCAGAGGCCGGAGGTGGGAGGGTCTGAGAGGCAGGGCCTTCACCTACCGGACGGTTTTCATACTCCAGGCAGGGGCAGGTGATGGTACAGCCATCCAGAACGATCCGGCCCTTGGGAGGGGTCACTTTCCGACCCCCCTCCAGCTTGTAGTACAGCAGCGTGTTCTGCCGGAGGATGAACCATCGCACCTTCCAGTTGTGGACAATGTGACCCTGAGGACAGACAGGAGAGCCTTGCTATGAGCTGGCCGAGAGGACAACATTATGTTCAGGGAAAGGTGTCCCCTGGCACAGGGAGCCAGACTGTGCTGTGGAATCGACTCTCCAACAAGGCGGAGAGTTTTTTCTTTTTCTTTTAGCCTAACACTTGTTTTTAAATTTTGAAATAATTTCAGAGAAAAGTTGAAGAATAAAGAACTTTTTTTACAGAACCGTTTACGAGTAAATTTTGTGTGTGTGTGAGGAAGACTGACCCTGAGCTAACATCCATGCCAATCTTCCTCTACTTTGTATGTGGGATGCCGCCAGAGCATGGCTTGATGAGCGGTGCTAGCCAGCAGTGGACCTTGGCTAGGTCCACGCCTAGGATCCAAACTAGTAAACCCCAGGCCCCCAAAGCGGAGAGTACAAATCTAACCACTGCACCACCCGGCTGGCCCCTAAAACATATTTTTTAAGACCCCTAAGTGGATGCATCATTTGCCTGTCACTCTCCCGTGTTTGTAACTGAGGTTTGATCTTTTTCACTATGATAAACAATTCTGCAATGAATATCTGTGCACATAAACTTTAATTTGCATCTCTGATTTTTTTTCCCTTGGGATATATTGCTAGAAAGAATAATTCTAGTCGAAGGATGTGGGCTATTTGTAAAGTTGAAGCTTCAAACCGTCTACCAGGGTAAGGACACCAAAGCCCAGGCTAGGTGTGGCAGGCTTAAAAGACAGGGCAGTTTGGGGGGCTCTCTGGTGGGTCATACAGCCAATGGACAGGATAGTCAGATAAAGGCAGAGAGTCTGCTTCTAGAACGGACCAACAGATCGGGGAACGTCTGCTGAGGAATCCGAAAGGAATGGGTTGAGTACACATTCATGAAAGCAACTTTCTTGGAATATTTCCAGAGCAGAGCCCAATTAGGGTTAGACTCTAACCAAGAGGGACGCGCTTTATCTGAATCAGAGACCATTTCCTGGAGTCCCTCATTCCTCACCTCGCACTTACTCATTTCAAAGACACTTCAGTTCTCACATCAGTGGGGCTGTGATTCTAGTCCACGCCCAGCGTGTACTGAGTGCTGTCCGGGAACCAGAAGCTGTAGAAAGAGTCGCCTGTGCCCAAACGGCATTTACTGGGGCAACAAAGAAAACTGGCAACAAAGTTAACCCGACAAGAGTTTATTAATATGTCTCCATGCCGTTACACCTCAGGGTGATCAAGCTGTTCACATGAGAGGACACACGTAGACAGGATGAATTTTACATTTTTGCTCTCTTCATTCTGTGCCGTTCTTAGAATCCACATGTACCCTGACGGCTGACAGCTTTCCTTGACGTGGGCAGACATGTTTAAAGAAACGTGAAAGATTTAGCTCTGCCTCCTCAGCAACTGGGGTTCTCTACTGCTCTCCACGCGGCCCAGACTCAGGTCCCCTTTCCTGATGACCCCCTACTGAGGGCTCCTGGAGCAGCAGGAACAGTAAATCGCTGTCACACGAGGTGGCTGGTCCAGGGAGAGTGCAATCTAAGCTGACAGTTTGGGCACTGGTGTGAGGTGGAGAAGGAGAGAGGACACCATAATCTCAAACTTTCAAACACAGGAGTTATGGGCTGAATTATGTCCTCCTCCCAAAAAAATTCACATGAATTTTTTCTAATCCTATTGAATTTCTAACCCATATGAATTTTCTCTGAGCCCTACCCCCCTACTACCTCAGAATGTGACTGTATTTGGAGACAGGGCCTTGAACGAGGTGACCAGGCTAAAATGAGGTCAGTAGGTGGGCCCTAATCCACTGTGACCGGGGTCCTTACAAGAAGAGGGAATTTGGACACAGAGAGAGACATCAGGGAGGCCTGTGCACAGAGGAAAGACCGTGTGAGCACACGAAGAAAGCAGCCAGTGCAAGCCGAGGAGAGAGGCTTCAGAAGAAGAAACCAAACTTGCCGACGTCTCCATCTTGGACTCCCAGCCTCCAGAGCTGAGAGAAGATAACAGAGGTTGTTTAAGCCATCCTGTCTGTGGTATTTTGTTACGGTAGCCCTAACAGGCCAAAACAACAGGGAAAGGAGAGGGAGGGCTGGAGATGTTAGGGAGAAAGTGTACCCAACCGATGTTGAACAGAACAAACCCCATATGGAGAAATGGCACTTCCCTGGACCAAACGCTGCGTTCTTCAGAATCCCTGGCCTGAAGGGAACAAGTAGGTGACCAAGTGCTGCCAGTCCCATGCACGGGGCATTGATGCTGGTGTGGCAGCAACCAAACAGGGGGAAACAGGAATTTTTGGCAAGGACAGTGATGGAAGAACAGGTTCTTCTGACACCCAATCCCCAGGGTTATCAGGGACAAGGGGCAAACAGTGTCAACAGTGATGTTTGCACTGGAAACATCTGGTGGTGCTGTTGGTTATTTTTGTCCGGCTGCATCATCCCTGACCGTATAGCATCCCAGCCAGGTTCTTCGGCCCTGCCAAATATTCCTGAGTTACTTAATATTTATTATCCTCCATGAAATCCCTTTTGTCCAAACTCACGTAAGTGGAATGTGTCACGAACAACTAAGAATCCTGACTGATAGCAGAGGGGAGAGGTGTGAGGAGAAAGGATTCACTACGCAGGTGGAAAACTCGAAGCAGCTGATGACCCTCATAAAAATGTTCAAATTCTTTGACCCAATAATTCTACTTCTGGGGATCTGTGCTAAGTAAATAATCTAGAATGTGGAAAAGTTTTTACATATTGAGACACTTAGAGGATTGTTGCTTATGATAGTAAAAAAATGCAAACTATTCTAACTATGTAGCAATATGGCGCCCAGTGTGGCTGCAGTGGAGGAATTCCAGTCCTAACTGATGGCAGAAGAGGCTACCGCTGGAGTCCTCAGGTCAGACCCAGCAGTCTGAACCACCAGGCCTCAGAGCAGCAATGGTCTTTGACATGGGCAAAGCACTTTTACTTACATTACTTCACACAATACCTAAAAATAATTCTAGTAGTTATTTTAGAAAATTTCTGGAAGGACACCCCAGAAATGTTAATAGTCATCACCTCTAGGGACTAAGACTGGATACAAGGTGATACAAATAGAAGCTTATTTTTCATTTTACACCCTTGACTATTTTTCTAGTTTTTTTTTTAATAATATGATGTATTTTTTTTCCCCGAGGAAGATTTGCCCTGAGTTAACATCTGTTGCCAATCTTCCTCTTTTTTTTAAATTTTTTATGTGGGCTGACGCCACAGAATGGCCACTAACAGACGAGTGGCGTAGGTCCACGCCTGGGATCCACACCCAGGCAGCTGAAGTGGAGCATGCCGACCTTAACCACTAGGCCACCAGGGCTGACCTGCAGGTATTATTTTTATAATGGAAAATAAATTTAAATTTAAACAAACAAAAATCCTGATGAGATGATTACGGAAATAATTCACTCATTTTTCTATTCATTCAACAATCAATGACTAAATACTACCGCACCAAGCCCTGTGCCGGCAGCAGGGATACAAAGAAGAACCAGATTCTGACCCAAGACAGTGGAGGAGACAGAGAACGAGCCCACCCAGTGTGATAAGTTCCAGGACAGGAGGAAGCGACGTGGGCCCAATCGGCTTCAGAATTCGTGTTGTAGAGTTTGATCTTTTTATTGTGGCCAGAGGGGAATCCTTGAAGACTTTTAAGCAGAAGAATGACAAGCTTAGGTTCTCATGTTAAAAAGACAGCCTTGACCACACCGAACAGAACAGCTGAATGGAGCAGGTCAGAATGGAGGGGTGAGCGCAGCGGGAGGCTGCTGCAGTAACCCACAACATGGGGAGAAAGCACCAGGATCCCCACTCTACAGACAAGCCACACCACGCTCAGACAGCACAGGGACTGGCCCAAAGGCACCAGGCAAAGGGGGTCAGAGGCCACAAACACAGCGACACAAGCTGAAAAGGAACCCAGGCCTCCTCCAGCAGGCACTTTCCTCCCTCTCCAGGCTCCCTGCCTGTAGGCGGCTGGCTGGGGCCAGAGGCCCACGGGACCATGAGAAGCTTAGAGTTCGTAGAGCCCCTTTAGGGAGGAGGGGGACGGTCCCTAAGCTGGGATGGCAACCCCAGGGCTGGGCTTCAGAGGCACAGGAAGCCACAGCTGGAGGGACCCTTTGAAAAGGGTCTATTCCCTAACTTTAAAATGAGAACACTGAGGCCCAGAAAGGTCTTGCCCAAGACCCTACAACCCTGAAGAAGCAGAGATGGTATCTGTTATGGGTTGAATTGTGCCCCATCCCCATAAAAGGTATGTTGAAGTCCTAACCCCTGGTATCCATGAATGTGATCTTATCTGGAAATAAGTCTTTGCAGACGTAACCAGTTAAGACGAAGTAATACTGGGTCAGGGCCACCCTAATCCATTATGACTGGTGTCCTTATACAAAGAGGAAAACCTGGACCCTCAGAGACACACAGGGAGAAGACGGTCAGGTGACAATGGAGGCAGAGACTGGAGTGCTGCATCTACAAAACCAGCCGACTGCCTACAAGTACCAGAGGCTAGAAGAGGCAAGAACAGACTCCCGCTACAGGCTGAGGGAGCCTGGCCCTGCCCACACCTCGATTTCAGGCTTCCGGTCCCCAGGACTCCTTCCAGTCTGTGTATTTTTTTGTTTACTCATAGCTTTTCTATTTTCACTCCTTGGGTTATAATATTACAAACACTGTAACATCTGCATAACCATAATTTACATAATCATTTGTTTATTTGGAGGCACATATAGGTAGTGTCCAGTTGTTTTCACTGGACATTCTGTTCATTAAGCTTTTAGGGTATTTCCTTGGGAAAGAGTCCTAAAATGAAATCTCTAGGCCAAAGTGTGTCCACGTTGCAATGTCATTTTCTAAGAGTGTTGTTTGAGGTATGAGCGGTACAAGCAACACCTGAAGTGCCTCAGCCTCTCCTTGAAGGAAAAGCAACAACACACCACACACAAAAATTCACTCAAAATAGATCAAGACCTGAAGGTAAGACCTGAAACCATAAAACTTCTAGAAGGTGACACAGGCAGTACACTCTCTGACATCGGTCTTAGAAGGATTTTTTCGAATACCTTGTCTAGGCAAGGGAAACAAAAGAAAAAATAAACAAGTGGGACATAAGACTAAATAGCTTCTGCAAGGCCAAGGAAACCAGGATCAAAACGAAAAGACAACACACCAACTGGGAGAAAATATTTGCAAACCATATATTCAACAAGGGGTTAATTTCCAAAATCTATAAAGAACTCATACAACTCAACAACAAAAAAACGAAAAACCCAATCAAAAAATGGGCAGAGGATATGAACAGGCATTTTTCCAAAGAAGATATACAGATGGCCAATAGACATATGAAAAGATGTTCAACATGACTGATTGTTAGGGAAATGCAAATCAAAGCTACAGTGAACTATCACCTTACCTCTGTTAGAATGGCTATAATCATCAGGACAAAAAATAGCAAATGTTGGAGAGGTTGTGGAGAAAAGGAACCCTCATACACTGCGGGTGGGAATGCAAACTGGTACAGCCACTATGGAAAACAGCATGGAGATTTCTCAAAAAATTAAAAATAGAAATACCATATGACCCAGCCATCCCATTACTGGGTATCTATCCAAAGAACTTGAAATTAACAATCCAAAGAGACTTATGCACCCTTATGTTCACTGCAGCATTATTCACAATAGCCAAGACGTGGAAGCAACCCAAGTGCCCATCAAGGGATGAATAGATAAAGAAGATGTGATGTATATATACAATGGAATACTACTCAGCCATAAAAAAGGACAAAATTGTGCCAGTTGCAACACCATGGATAGACCTTGAGGGTATTATGTTAAGAGAAATAAGCCAGACAGAAAAAGACAAACACCATATGATTTCACTCATATGTGGAAGATAAACAAACACATGGACAAAGAAAATAATTCAGTGGTTACCAGAGGAGAAGGGGGTGGGGGGTGGGCATAAGGGGTAAAGGGGCACATATGTATGGTGACAGATAAAAACCAGACTATTGATGGTGAGCACGATGCAGTCTATACAGAAACTGGTAAATAATAACGTACACCTGAAATTACATAATGTTATAAACCAATATGACCTCAATAAAATAATTTTTAAAAAACAAAGGAAAAGCAGTCCTCCTCATGCTGATCCTGGCCCCTCCCTGCCCTTCCCCCTTTAAAGCCAGGCCAAGTGAGCGCCCTGTATGTTGCCTGGAGCTTTGCTTCCTTCGAGTCTGGGCGGGATTAAGAGCCAAATCCATCATGCCCCTGCCTGCCTCGGCTTCACTCACACCAGCAATGACTGTTCTGTACTCTGGCTTTCAGCTCAGGCCCTGCTCCACCTCTGGGCTGTAAACTCTCCTAATCTATGGAATCCCATGGCCGCAGCCCTGTGATTTCTCCAGTGGACACAGAGGCTGCTGTTGCCACCCAGGAGGAAAGGGGATACTGGGGAGAGAAAATGTTAAGATTGATGAGTAGGGGCGAACTGTTAGCAGGGGCATGGGCCACATCCCTCTCCTTGCAGGAAAGGGTGTGGCTTCCGCTTTCCCCAGGGTCAGGCTCCAAACTCCGGTCTTTGGGTTTGGCTGGCATGAACTTTAGGTATTTCAGCCAAGCCCCTTCTGTGGGCTTTTGGGGCCAGACCGTTGACTCTCCTCACTTCTCTGCACCCTGGGCACCCAGTTCTCCAGAAGAGAACTCACGTCCTTCCTTCCCTCTAGCCCTCCTCTGACACCATGTGGTGGAGGAAATCATGTAAGGTAACCCCTGGGAACACGGGGAGGCCCACCAGAGCCCATCTGAGGGGGTCTGTCCTCCACAGGCCCCTACCAGTGCCCAGCTATCCCGACAATCAACAAGGCCCACCAAAACCCCCTTCCCAACTCACATTCCCGCTCTCACCTCCCAAGCTGCAGGAAGGGAGAACACAGGAATCCCCCACAGCTTGTCTCTCTTAGGTGCAGCCACCGCCACAAACTGTGAGGGACCAGCCTATCACTTTAAGCACAGTGGCATGAAGCGGGCGTGGAACTCCGTACCTGCTTGTTTCCAGTCTGACCCTTGATCCGGCATCAGCCTCCTGTTTACAGTTTTGAGCAAACAACACATTGGCCCTCCTATATCAAATCATGTGTAACAACATGTCTACATTACCTGCGGACCTGAAAGCTATCTCAGACTTCAGGGCTGACCTGGCGGCCAGGGGAGGCAATGGGAGGGAGAGCCCCTTCATCCCTCTTCATCTATCCCCCTCCCAAGCTGTAAGCTCAGCAGAAGAGCCAAAGGCTCATGCCCAGGTTTACGCATCTGAACCCTCTGCTGTTAAGTTAGCATAAACCTTTACTGTGAACATCACTGTTGAAATTTCAAAGAACTTGAAGATATCGAACTTCCTCCTGCAACCGCTCTTTGGTTCATTTTCTCCTTTGATCCCCTGTGTCCCGTTTTCCTCCGGACTCTTGCTTGCAGTGGGAAAGGCCACGTGGGGTGATAGGAAGGAGGAAGGATGGAGGTTCCAGTCCCCGCCGTGACTAGCCCTGGGGCTCTGGGCAAGCTACTTCATCTTTCTGACCCTCAGTTTCCTCATCCGTAATAGCGTGGTAACAGTACCCACCCGGGTGGGCAGGGAAAGGTCTGGAGTCAACCTGAGCGGGTTTGATCCTGCTGCATCACCCACTAGTCCCCAGATCCTGAGCAAGCTATCGAATCTCTTTGAGCTTTGTTTTCCCCTTGGAGAAAGGGGGTGACGTGGTCCCACCGACCCGCGGGGCTGTAGGAGAGTTAAAGGAGACCCCGGCACAGCAAGCGCTTAAGAAGCACAGGCTCCCTCTCCGCTCAGGGGTTATTGAGGAGATGATGCGTTACACCGACCGGCGCTGCGAACTACAGAGCACACTTACGTCGTTTGAATACATCATATTTAAATGCTATACTCTTCATATTGTAAAATGCTGTTTTAATTAAGATCTCCACCGCGGGGCCGCCACCCGCAGCCACACGCCCTAGCCAAGCGGGATTCTCCTCCTTGCCTGTGCCCCGGCCCCTCTTTCCCTTCCGAGGCTGACCTCCAACCACCGCCCCCCGGCTCGGCCGCGCCCGCGCGCCCCGCCCCGCCGGGCCGCCTGGCCAGGGTCCGGAGAAGATCCGGCCGCTCACCCTCTTCACCAGGAAGCCCTCCTTGAGCACACCGTCCTCCATGTCGCCGCCCACGCCCAGCCTGCGGGCCCGCCAGGTGCGCCGTCCCCGCGCCGCCGTCCCGCGCGCTCCTCGCCCGCTGCGCCCAGGAAGAGCCTCCACCCGCCGGCGCCGCCCCCTGGCCCGCGCCCAGAGCCGCGGCCGCCGGCGCCGGCGGGAGGTCGGGTCGGGGCGGGGTTTCTAACCTGCTTCCCCCGAAGGTGCCTTAGGTGCGTGATTAGTCCTCAGGGTACAGAGTCGGCCGACTCTTAGAGTACCCCCGCCCCCCCCGCTCTCTCCCACGCTGCAGGGTCCCCCGCCAAGTGCCTCCAGCGCGCTCTGCGCCGCTCATTATTGCGGTCTCGGCCTCCAGCCTCCACCCGCAGGCTTAGCCAGGTGCCTGCCCGGCGCTTGGTATATTGCCCTTGAGTAATTGTGGAATTGAACTGAGCTGAAAGGATTTCAAGGATTTGGAGTGATCCCTGGACTCCATTGAAATAAGGGTGGGAGAGTGGATAGGTGGAACCAGGCTAGGAACTTTGTCCTGGCCTCTGGTAGGGGCAGAGAAAATTCCCTTTAGCAAGAAGGTCTCAAGTTTAAGGAAGCAGGAAGCCCTCTGTCTCAAGTATACACCCTTCCATCCCCAAAGAGCTAGAGCTGAAGATTCCATCATCAGGGGCACAATTTAAGGGGATGCCAAGGAACTCAGTAATCTAGATAAATAACATTATAATGCAGTCTTTGTTTAAAATCAAAATTAATGCCAAAAAAATCCATGATGAACAAAATATCAAAATTTTAAGTGATAACAGGATGAATAATGTCCTACCAGGCCTGATGGAGCCGGAAACAAAAGGCAACACAGTAATGCTCAGGACACAGTCAGTTATTCATTGTTTGTATTGCAGTGTGAAGGGCCCCATCAGGACTGTTCCCCAGGAAGGGGAAAGCCCCACCCAGATGCCTAACGGGAAAGAGAAGGCTCAAGATCAGAAGAAGGTGCCCCAGGCTGCCTTTCAGAACCAAATCCCAAACCCACGGAGCCCCTGCCCGGGAAGTGGCCCACTTCAGCCTTCTGCCTTCCCTGCCGTTTGGATCTCCCAGCCAAGCCAACGGCGATGGGGCTTCAGCTCTGTCTCGGAGTGAACACAGACTCAGCACCTCCTGAGGCCAGGCCTGTAGTGGGTGCCGAGTTTTATTTAATGCACAGCAACCCCATGAGGTAAGTTTATTATCCCATTTTTTTCCAGCCAGGGAAACCGAAACAAAGCAGCTAAATAACCTGCCCAAGGTCACACAAGCCCGGCTTTACCTCCAGAGCAGTGCGATTGCACTTCTCAGTTCCTGAGCTGGGAAGGGGAGGAGTGAATCATCTGTGCTCTGAAACCAGGACAGGAGAGGATAGAATGGGACATTCTTAGCCTCTTTGGCTCAGTTATGGTCTGTCATCTCCTTCTTCCATCCAGATGCCAGGGGAGCAGGCAGTTGGCATAGGGCTGTTTTGGTCTCACCCAGACACAACCTTCTGAAGCCTAAAAGAGGTGGCATTGACTTTAGAAAGCAGGGTTCCTGAATGAGGTTGTGGAATTGGAAAAGGGAAAGATTGGTCCTCTCTCCCGGCATACTCAGAACCTCCGTCCTACCCTGGGGAAGCCCCTGGTCCAGTCCACCGCAAGCCTGACGCACTGGCCCTGGGGCATGAGTCACTCTTCCAACTGTGGTGGCTGAGCCACCAGCCCACTAGGGAACCACGCTGACATAAGTCCAACTCCACCACAGGGAAGTGGATGGAGACAGAGGAAGCACACAGACATGGTAAATAGCTGAAACTGGGGGAAGGGAGCAGAAAAGGGAAGAAAGCTCAGGACCAAGGAATTTCTCTAGCTCTTCCAGGCTGACTCCTCTCCTCTCCCTCTCAGGGCCAAGGCTGATATGGAAGGGTCCCTGACTCTCTCAGAAGGGCCAGATAATGTCTAGAATGTGTGAGCTGTAGACAGCTATAAAATTGGTGTTTGGGTGTAGGTGATTCACAGCCTGATGTGAAATTCCACCATTAGAAAGTCATTCCCTTCTTAATAGATGCAGAGAAAGCATTTGACAAGACCCAACAGCCATTTATGATAGAAGGGGACTACCTCAACATAATAAAGGCCATATATGACAAACCCACAGCCAACATCATACTCAATGGTCAAAAGCTGAGCGCCATCCCCCTGAAAACAGGAACGAGACAAGGATGCCCTCTATCACCACTCTTATTTAACATAGTACTGGGGGGTTTAGCCAGAGCAATTAGCCAAGAAAAAGGAATAAAAGGAATCCAAATAGGGAGGGAAGAAGTGAAACTCCCGCTGTTTGCAGACGACATGATCTTATATATAGAAAATCCCAAAGAATCCGTTGGAAAACTTTTAGGAGTAATCAACAACTACAGCAAAGTTGCAGGGTATAAAATCAACTTACATAAATCAGTAGCATTTCTATACTCTAATAATGAACTAACAGAAAAAGAACTCAAGAACACAATACCATTCACAATTGCAACAAAAAGAATAAAATACCTCGGGGTGAATTTAACTAAGGAAGTGAAAGACTTATACAATGAAAATTACAAGGCTTTTCTGAAAGAAATGGGTGGCGACATAAGGAGATGGAAAGACATTCCATGCACATGGATTGGAAGAATAAACATAGTTAAAATGTCCATTCTACCTAAAGCAATCTACGATTCAACATCATCCCAATCAGAATCCCAATGACATTCTTTACAGAAATAGAACAAAGAATCCTAAAATTCATATGGGGCAACAAAAGACCCCGAATTGCTAAAGCAATCCTGAGAAAAAAGAACACAGCTGGAGGCATCACAATCCCTGACTTCGAAACATACTACAAAGCTACAGTAATCAAAACAGCATGGTACTGGTACAAAAACAGGTGCACAGATCAATGGAACAGAATTGAAAGCCCAGAAATAAAACCACATATCTATGGACAGCTAATCTTCGACAAAGGAGCTGAGGACATACGATGGAGAAAAGAAAGTCTTTTCAACAAATGGTGCTGGGAAAACTGGAAAGCAACATGTAAAAGAATGAAAATTGACCATTCTTTTTCACCACACACCAAAATAAACTCAAAATGGATCAAAGATCTAAAGCTGAGACCTGAAACCATAAGGCTTCTAGAAGAAAATGTAGGCAGTACACTCTTTGACATCAGTACTTAAAGGATCTTTTCGGACACCATGTCTTCTCAGAGAAGGGAAACAATAGAAAGAATAAACAAATGGGACTTCATCAGACTAAAGAGCTTCTTCAAGGCAAAGCAAAACAGGATTGAAACAAAAAGCAACCCACTAACTGGGAAAAAATATTTGCAAGTAATACATCCGACAAAGGCTTAATATCCATAATATATAAAGAACTCACACAACAACAACAAAAAATCAAACAACCCGATCAAAAAATAGGCAGGAGACATGAACAGACATTTCTCCAAAGAAGATATACAGATGGCCAATAGGCACATGAAAGGATGTTCATCATCGCTGTACATCAGGGAAATACAAATCAAAACTACACTAAGATGTCACCTTACACCCATTAGAGTGACAAAAATAACAAAAACAAATAGTAATAAATATTGGAGAGGTTGTGGAGAAAAAGGAACCCTCAGACACTGCTGGTGGGAATGCAAACTGGTGCAGCCACCATGGAAAACAGTATGGAGATTCCTCAAAAAATTAAAAATAGAACTACCATACGATCCAGCTATCCCACTACTGGGTATCTATCCAAAGAACCTGAAATCAGCAATTCCAAAAGTCCCATGCACCTCTCTGTTCATTGCAGTGTTATTTACAATAGCCAAGACTTGGAAGCAACCTAAGTGCCCATCAACAGATGACTGGGTAAAGAAGATGTGGTATATATACACAATGGAATACTACTCAGCCATAAAAAAGAACAAAATTGTCCCATTTGCAACAACATGGATGGACCTTGAGGGTATTAGATTAAGTGAAATAAGCCAGATAGAGAAGGACAATCTCTGTATGACTGCACTCATATGAGGAATTTGAACATGTGGACAAAGAGAACAGATTAGTGGCTACCAGGGGAAAGGGGGGGTGGGGAGTGGGCACAAAGGGTGAAGGGGTGCACCTACAACACGACTGACAGACAATAATGTACAACTGAAATTTCACAAGATCGTAACCTATCATTAACTCAATAAAAAAAATAATAATAATAAAAAGAAAGTCATTCCTTTAGCTACAGATAAGAATCTCTTGTTTAAGGTACTTACAGTGGAGAAGGGTAAATCATGGAGCCTTATTCACAATGAACACTTTGACTCAGTGAGTTTATCAGAGTCTAACTCTTAAATCATCCAATCCAGACACCTTATGTTATAAATGAGGACCTTCCAAAGCCCAGAGAAATAAAATGACTTGTCTAAGTTCCTGCAGGCAGTGGCAAAGCCAGGACCAGAATACAGGGTAACGGTGTACGTACTTTAAGGCTTGCTCCTAGCAAACGCCGGGGCCCTTCCTCCAGCACCAGAGCAGAACCAAAGTAAAGGAGTGACTGTACAAGCAGGGAAGGGCTCTGTCTGCAAAACCAGACCAGATTTAAAACAATGTTATCTATGTTTTTTATGACCATAAAAATCATTTGTACTCATTATAGAAAATTTAGAAAGTACCAAAAAGGATAAAATCACCCAAATCCCATCATCTAAACAGATGGTAATTACTTTTACATGCACACATATTTTTAATCTTAAAAATTGTGAGCCCTTTTATAATAGCTAATAAGCATCTTATCAGATCATTAAAAATAATTCAATAACATAATTTTAATGGCTGCATAATATTTCATTCTGCCTTTATTATAAGGTATTTGTTTCCATTTAGAATGAATTTCCTGTTTCACTGTGTAAATGATGCTATGATAAACATCTCTGTGCATAAAGATTCTGTCACATTCCTCATTGTTTCAGATAAATATCTAGAGCAGGCTTTTAGGTTAAAGGGTTTACATTTTTAAAATTCTTGATACATATCACGGAACTGCTTTCTAGAAATGTGCCGGGCGATGCCCTCACCAGCATGTATGAGGATGCCAGTCTCA